AGTCTCTGTACTGGAAAATTAATAAGGTCAAATTTTGATGATAAGTGTAAGGACCAGATGCAACTTTAATCTCAGATGTTATGAAGAATTTTATTGTCACAGAAGTATGGTTCATGTGTTCTCCTTTTAGATGTGCTGAACACACAATCTTGAAGTGCTGCATGTATTATTTTAAGATAAATTGATATCTTATTACAGAGAATTTCTTTAAATTTCTTTGCCTGTTATTCAACAGTTGCTGCAGCATCAGATGGCTTGAAGGCATGGGATGTGTTGATGGAGAAACCCCAGAGTGTAGACCTTGTTCTGACTGAGGTTGACTTGCCATCAATCTCAGGGTTTGGCCTTCTCACCATGATAATGGATCATGAGAGCTGCAGGAACATTCCAGTCATAAGTATGATGCAATCAACTTTGACTTTTTCTAATAATGTTTATTATAATAGTTCTTAGCAACACTTCCTCCTGAGTTACAAACTCAAAACTTCCTTGATTCATCCAGTGATGTCTTCGCATGATTCCATCAGCATGGTTTTCAAATGCATGTTGAAAGGTGCAGCGGACTTTCTCATTAAACCAATCCGCAAGAACGAGTTGAGGAACTTATGGCAGCATGTCTGGAGAAGGCAAATTGTAAGCTTCATTTGCATCATAGTCATACTATTATCTTCTAGGTTATCCACTGTCTTTAATCAAATATAACCCCTAGTATTTTAGCATAAATTGATCATTGCGTTATTGTATGTTTTATCAGGTAGATGGACATGGTGGCACACATAATATTCAAGACAAACGTGAGGCAATGCATAAAATGAAAGCTCATTATGGTGAAAAAGAACATTCGATTGAGAATATTGCTATTGTGCAGGCAAATAAGGAATTTGGTGAGCAAGGGAGTGATGCTCAAGTAAGATTTTTCTTCACACAATATATCGTTTTACTTATAGTTCAGAGAAAATATGATAAGATCTCCATGCTGTGGTGGGGCACTGTCTATGTCGTGGTGAGGTCTTATATGATCAGCAGCACTCTTGAAACTTAATGTGTGAAAAAATCAATTTTCCTATTACAAGACTGCTGGACATCTACTTATTCTCCTATACATAGCCTGACGGGCACATATAATTTACATAATTCCCCAGGTGGCTTTCCTACACATATTTGTTTGTAGATCAATAATAATAAGTCCTACTGTGGATATTTTGATATTCCCAGGTGTCAAATTGCTTTATATATATATTTTTTCTGAACATCAAGATTGTTCCTCGTTCCTTTATTATAGTTTCCCCTGCGAAATGTAGCTCAGCATCTTTGATGAAGTGTTGCACGCTGTTGACATCATGTGTTTTAGTGTAGACTTGTACATGGAGATTGACATAGACACTGCACATTTTTCCACCTGTTGTGCAGAGCTCTTGTACAAGGTCAGATGTGGAAGCTGAAAGTACACACAAGCAACTGAAGCTTAAGCAGACAAAAGTAGTGGATGCATTTATGACTCAGAATGGAGGGAATATTCAAATGGACAATGGATCATTCAATTATGAAAATTCAATTACTGGTACTCTTTTCCATGTTCATAGTTTATTTTTTATTATATTTAGCATTTCATGCAACTCATATGAACTGTTGCTAAACAAACTTATTGTGCCGCAGCAGCGAGTGAAAATGTTGATGAGGTACAAGAATGCTTGGGCTACAAAAAAACCAACAATAAGAATTATGACCAGAAATGTCATCATGAAATAATTTCTAAGGATGATGATTTGGTCCATGTGGTTGATAATCAACCACAGGGTAGACTCCCCTCTAGAGACATTGTTCATGTTACCAATGTTAAGCGCAAGTTAAGTGCTGCACCTTATTTGGAGCTTTCTTTGAAAAGATATGAGGGAACATTCCCCGAGAAGCAAGAATGTGGTGGCTCCAACATATGGAACCATTCAAGTTCGTCAGCATTCTCACTGTGAGTGTTTCATTATACTTCAATTCTCTTTATAGTTGACATAATATTTTTCATCTTCTATTAGTAACTCATAGCACTTTCTGAAATGATCTTGTGATTTTATGAGAAAATGCCTTCTAAGTTCTAACTGTGATCAGCTTTCTTTCACTTGGTTACGTTCTTTGATGTATTGCTAGCTTCAAGGTTCGGCTTTACACTGTGAAAAGGCTTGGTGTTTTATCAGGTTTAATTGGGCTCACTTGTTTTCTTATGTATGAGCAGCTCAATGATGTCCATAGCATCTGATTAATTGTGTATGCTTCTATTCATCTTATTAGTGGAGACTCAAGGATCTGAAGTGAACTGATGTGAACAATTAAGTCAAACATGCAGCATAAGCTTCACTTTTTTACATGAATTGAAATGATCTAGTACCTCCTGTTGGAATTTTGTGCTAGTAGACCATAGTATCCTGCCATGCATATGGCTGATTATAAGAATTTTTTTCATCATCTTCCATCTTAGAATAATAGTCAAATTTCAGATAGATGTCTAAAGAATGGAAATGAGTGGAAGAAGATATTAAGATTTTAGGTATTAGGAGGAATGATGTAGAATTGACTTTCTATATCTTTTACATTTTCTTTTAGCTGGTTCTTAGTTGCAGTTGTTCTGCTTGTTATAGACTACAGTTGGCACTTCTGAATGATCAGTAGCTGTAACATCGAGAATATGATGTCACATAAATTCCAGTGAGAAGCTTTTTTCTTTTAGACTAATTGATTATTTTTTATTTTTCTTCTTTGTGACTGTTATCCTTTTTAAGTAGCATATATTGAGCAACAACCCATTTCCCTTTTTGATTTGTTGTGAGCATTTCCTCCTCTGATCTGTGTAATTTATGGATGATTTTTCTCTAAAAAATATTGGCTAGCTAATTATTAATGAAAGAAAATTGAATTATTTGAGATATTGCCTTACATCTATAATTTATCGTAGAGCCACTCAAATTATAGTATACTGCAGGTACACCGGTAGGATGGTAATACCTACCATGTTGGAACAAAATAACTCATCATCCGAAACAAATGGACTCAAGCCTATTGAGCCTCTTAAAGACTGGGATTCTAGGGGGAATTCGGAAGAGACTAAGTCCTCAGATGTGGGACCTTCAGTTCAAGATGGAATGGCAGTTCAATGCACCCCACTTCCAGTTATTCCATTTCCTCTTCCTGTTGGAAGCATGCCTTCGAGTTCTGGGTATGGTACAGGAATGCAACAGATGTTCTATCCACAGTCAGGTCATCCTTTTTGGAGTACCAATCCATCAATATGGCGGGAAGCAACCATGCAGACAAACTCATCAATCCAACCTTGCCAAAAGAATTGCAACTCTGTGCAATGTGACCTTCCTGATGAGGAGAATGTCAGAAGCTCATGCTACCCTTCTGCAGGAAAGCAGGAGGAACTTATGCAACTCGATGAACAGAGGCAAGTTTCATCTGCAGAAGGAGAAAGTGGTAGCAGTAGCATATGCAATGGTAGCAGAAATTTTAAAAGCAGTGAATGTGGGAGTGTTCTCAGTGGAACTACTGGACACACGTCTGCAACACATGTTTTCAGGCCCATAACAGTGACAGGAAATGATGAGAGTAAACTGACTTGTGATGGATCAAAACCAGAAGATTGTCATCTTTTAACCCAAAGGGAAATTGCCTTGAATAAATTCCGACTGAAGAGGAAAGAAAGATGCTTTGAGAAGAAGGTACTGATTCATTAAAATTTCAAAGTCCCTAGAGCAAGTTCATAGAAGGAAAAGAAATGCTTTGTAATGTCATAACTTAATTAACTTATAATGGTAGTATGTATTAAGCTGAACCCTGTACATTTCTGTTTGAGAAAAGAGTAGAGGTGCACTTCATCATTGATAACAACAATAAGTGAAATCATATCATTAGCTGCATGTCGACTGCTGACTTGTGGTTACTGATTTTGATCTTGGCAGGTTCGCTACCACAGCAGAAAACTACTTGCAGAGCAGCGTCCTCGAGTGAAGGGACAGTTTGTTCGTCAAGACAGACCGGAACCTCAACCAGGGCAAGCAGGTGCCTTTCAAAGCGAGTCAGCTGCCGCATAGTTTTGCTTTCATACCATCTAAATCACATTGACCATATGATCTTCGGTAGTTGACCGGTGTAGCTGCACTAACATCATAGATCTTGTGACAAGTTTGCTTTGTAAGATAGATTTGCTTCGTATGCCCTTCTTTTCCGGTTTGAAACACCACTCTTGGTTGTTGATACAGTAACAGTATGCAATGTAGTGTAATATTTGTCATTAGAGATCTCAAGAAATGTGGTGGCTAGAGCAAGTCACTTGCTCATATACGCGCTGTCTGTTATTTATGTAGTTGTATGCCTTCAAATAGTATTAGCTTTCACGTTTTCTTTATTAAATTTCATTCTATATCGTTGCAAGTTCATTTTAGAAATTTTAGCGTAATAATTACAGCACTTGCAAACTTATTTTTATGGTCTATGACACAAGCTTCCTCATAATTTAAACAAACTCGATCCTTGATTCACTTTGGTACAGCAACTTGAGTTCAAAATATCTTCAATTTTATTATTATTATTATTATTATTATTATTATTATTTTTTAATCCCATCGCCTACAAGCTTATGTCGATCGACGAATAATAGACAAGAAGGAATAATATGACACAAATATCCAAATTTATTAATTTAAAATCGAGTTTTGATCAAGATCGGGCACGATTGAAGCAAGCTGTATTTGACTTAAGAGGCTACATTATTTTGAGATCGGGTCCTTATCAATCCTGGCTGACTCGGTGCAATCTCGAACGAGCCGAGCCCGAGACGAACAAGAACTCGAGTTCGAGCTCCAACTGTCTCACCGCAACCCAACGTGATTCTGTTTCGATTCGCTGCCTCTCGAGTTCGAGCTCGAACTGTCTCACCGCAACCCAACGTGATTCGGTTTCGATTCGCTGCCACTTGTTGGTCACTCTCGTCTCTGTCATCCACACCAGGAAAGGGTAATCCTGTAATTAAAAGGAATCCGTTCGTTGTTGCGACTCTCCTGTACTCTTCGGCTTGGAAGCGGGCGCCGATGCCCCGATCGAAGAGGCTCCCAGCGGCCGCAGGCGGCGGCAGAAGGAGCGGCGGCGGCGGCAGCAGCGGCTTCCGTCCTCCCGTGGTGCTGCTCCTCTTCTTCTTTGTTCTCGCCCCTTTGCTCGTCCTTGCGGCCCGGCGCAGCACTCGCACCCTCGTTTCCCCCGGTGAGTCATGGACTCCTTCCTCGCTGGCTCGCTCACTCGCCGTCGACTTAATGGGATTCTTATTTTCTTGGATTGTCTCTGTTTGAGGTTCGATTGCTTTTCTTGAGATCTGGGTTTGTGAGCCACTAAAACACTCAGATCTGGATTGAACATGCTTTTTTAAGATGTGATTTGGTTATTTTCTTGAAGATCTTGCGTGTACGATGGTTATGATGTACCAAATAGGTTCGGATCCGGCTCTCGGGCACCTCATTCTCGAATTCCCTGGCATGATTATTGCCCACAATTTTTAGCATGAGTTTGTGGAACCTGATTTATCTCCGGATACCCTTCTGATTTATGCTCGGTACCTCACCGCAGGAGCCGTATAGTGTGTACCTAAAGCTGCTGGTATTAGTCGTTTGGCATTGTTGTTAGATATTTGACAAACAGAGTCCAAGAATCTGAAGCGAAAACGAGATCTAGTTATATTTTAACTAAAATATATATATTATTCTGAGACGTTAACACAACAACTGGTCACAAAATTAAGAGTAAAGTGAAAGTATCCAATGAGCTATCCTATTGGAGATTATGCATGATTAGATTCTGGCCAACTTTAATGTAATACAACCGGAAGGATGTTAAGGTTTAAGGCATTGGAGATAGAAAAGAAAACCAAAAACAAAAAGCAAAACAAAGAAGGGAGCATTCGGTAAAACATACTCGATTTACAAAAAACCAATTTAAAGTATTGAAGATAAAATAGCATTGCAAACACATGCCGGTCTTGAGGGAGAGAAAGACATTGATGTTTCCCTTCTTGAATAACTTTTACTTGATTGTGATTTTGAACCACTAGTTTCCAATGCTTGGTGTAGCTTAATAACATCAAGTTCTTAGCAGTTCAGGGTGTTGGTGGATTATGTTTGAATGTATAGGACAATTGGGACTTTGGAGGTTGAGGACTTAAATAATGTTGGAATATAAGTGGTAGGGTAATTGTGGGATGGAACAGAGGATGAAATAGATATTGCTAAGTTTTTTGAAGAGATGGTTTTAGAAATAGTTGGTCCGCGTGCTTGGTCACATGCGGAGTGGTATATGACATCTGGTACATACCAGTCTGAGCAAAATTAGGAACCTTGCTATGAATTACTAAAAGATGCTTTTGAGAAACTCTATTTATGTTATTTTGCATGTAAATATTTTCGTGAATAATGGATGCTATTTGAGGTACATTAGTGTTTTTCTGTCCTTGATACAGATCAAACAGGCAGTCCAAACTTCTCAAGCAAAAAGGTAGTTAGCCTTGAGCATATTTGTTGTTTTTCTACTCAAGAAATGCAACTACCGTATATCTCACTTCTCACTCTTCCACAGGCGGCAGACTGGAGAGAACAGTTGGTGATCCAGCACCTAAAACCTATTCTGACAAAAGAGGTTAGTGACTAGTGAGAGATGCTCAAATATGCTTGTTCAGGATTAGTTACATTTTTTTGTAGTTATTGTATGAAATCTTTTAGTTGCCTTAGAATATGTGCCCAATGATTGCTGGTATTACTTTGTTATCTTGTTTAGTTATACTGTACATTAGTCATTACCTGCTATTATGAGGCGATGGGGGCCTGGGTTTCCTTTCTCTCTTCTTTCTCTTTTCAAATTATTTGGTGGCTGTACGATGAACTTATCTTGTGTGTTCTCTTTGTAAGACACAGCTACATGTGCATTATCTATAGATGTATACTGATGGTACTGGAATTTTGCTTGACTATCTGGATCATGTTTGTGTGCACTGTGCACTTTATCATTGGGAAAAACTTATCCAGTATGTTATCTATATTTCTTTTACATACGTACAAGAACTAACACTATGAAAAAACAAAGAAGATTGAAAAAATTCTACAAGAGATTAATATGGTGACTACATGCAATTTCTTCTTTGTTCTTTCGTTTGATCAATAGCCTTATCAGTTATTATTTGTCATCAGAATTGCTGAAAGGAATTAGGATGGGAAATTTTTTTGGTTTAACCCTGTAATGATTAAAACAGTTCTTAAGATATAAGGTTGCAACTTAAGACCTTGCTCAAGATGTCAAATATAGAGCTGTTTAAACAAATGTAACTTGCTTCTTGCTAGTTTTGTTACCCTGAGGAAGCCACTTCCAGACCAGAGAGTTGCCAGCAATGGGAAAGTTGCTATTTCCATCTGCACGTTGTTATCTTGTGGTTTAACCACCAGAATTTATTTCGCCAGCCTAGGTTGTCATCCTTTTTCCTCTTCCTCCCAAATTTCTATCTTCTTTATTTGGTATTTCTCTAACTTGTTTGTTTATATAATTTTAAGTTGGTACCATACACCCACACATGGGCCCCATATATTGCAAAAGTTGGTATCTGTTTTGGTCAATCCTGTTTAGATCAGATGAGTCTTCCACTGCTTAGAGGCCAATACCTGCCTCAACAGCATTGGCTTGAGAGAAAGATTGTGATCTACTACTACATCGTGGCCTATTTCAACTTTCAATCCTATGTATTACATTTCACCAGGTATTCGAAGCGATATCTGCAAGCCGGCATGAGTTGGGACAGTGGAGTCTTGATTTTCTCAGACAAAATCATGTTTCTTCCTCATGGCAAGTTGATGGAGCTGACCATGCTAGCCAGAATAATCTGACTGTAACAGATGTAAATTTATTTTTTTCCATTTTTATGCTAAAATTATCTGGTTTAATGCAACGTAATGGTTTAAACTTTCCTGCTAATGTTGTTATGTTCATCTTCTTGAAGACACTTCAAAATGCTTCAGATGCTGAGAAAACATCTTTCAAAATGGGGGATGATGCTCGGGTTGGTTCTTTACCTACTGCAAATAAAGATTCTAAAGATAATTTAGGTAATTATTAGCTTCCTGTTTCCATTACAAAAGTTTTGTTATTGTTCTGTCTCCCAGTAAACAACTCAATTCTCTTTGTAATGCAGATGGACATCAACTTCTTGATTCACCTGCCAAAGTAGCTAGAAGGGTAATTGTTTCAGTTCATATGTTTAGTCTGTTACATGGATTCATTCATTTGTCTAAATAGCATTCGAATTTTAATATTATTGCTATTTTTATTTGGGATTTTCTTGAGAATGATATCAATATTGTCAAATTTTACTGTTTTTGATCACATGTTTTTTAGTTGCTTAGAAAGGCCTTTGAAAAAAGTAGTTAACCTTTAATTGCTTCAAGTATGCTTTCACAACTTAAAGAAACAGGTGACCTGGTGTATCAGGCTCCCACAAGTATTTTCTGTTAAATTCTTTTATTGTTTAGAAATATTTGCTTATCACTTTGCTTATTCAACGTAAATTCTCTTTTTATCATTTTATCTCTGTTTGGTATTCTTATGTATTAGCAACTGAGAGAGAAGAGGCGAGAGAAGAGGGCAATGGAGTTGGTTCAACAGGACGATGAGGCACTGGTTAAGCTTGAAAATGCTGCTATTGAGCATTCAAAAGCAGTGGACTCTGCCATCCTGGGAAAATATAGTATATGGAGACGAGACAATGAAAATGAAAATTCTGATTCAACAGTTCGATTAATGCGTGACCAAATAATCATGGCTAGAGTCTATATGGTAATTGCTAAATCAAAGAACAGGCTTGATCTTTACCAGGAATTGCTAACTCGAATCAAGGAAAGCCAACGTGCCGTTGGAGAGGCCAATGCTGATTCTGACCTCCATCGCAGGTGAGATTTCTTTTCATATACATATAATTTTTCTGTATGTGCTTATTTATATAAACATTTCTACATCCACATCTTCCTAGTGCTCCTGAGAAGATAAAAGCAATGGGCCAAGTTCTGTCAAGAGCGAGAGAAGCTTTGTACGACTGCAAGGCAGTAATTCAGAGGCTCAGAGTGATGCTTCAGTCTGCTGACGAACAAGTTAGGAGCTTGAAGAAGCAAAGCACATTTCTTAGCCAATTGGCTGCAAAGACAATTCCCAATGGAATCCATTGCTTGTCTATGCGCCTCACTATAGACTATTACCTTCTCCCTCCAGAGAAAAGAAAATTTCCTAGGAGTGAAAATTTAGAAAATCCAAGTCTTTACCATTATGCTCTCTTCTCTGACAATGTTCTGGCTGCATCGGTAGTTGTCAATTCAACAATCATGAATGCTAAGGTAGCATCTACTTGATTTCTCTGTTCTTTAAGTTTTGAATTTGAATATTGTCTTTCTGACACACATGTGGTTCTTATTACAGGAGCCAGCCAAACATGTATTTCATCTGGTTACTGATAAATTGAATATTGGAGCAATGAACATGTGGTTTTTGTTAAATCCTCCAGGGAATGCAACTATTCATGTAGAAAATGTTGATGATTTCAAATGGTTGAACTCTTCATACTGTCCAGTTTTACGACAACTCGAATCTGCTGCCATGAAAGAGTACTATTTCAAAGCTGATCATCCGACAACTCTATCAGCAGGTTCTTCCAATTTGAAGTACCGAAATCCAAAATATTTGTCTATGCTGAACCATCTACGGTTCTATCTTCCGGAGGTTTATCCCAAGTTGGATAAAATCTTGTTTCTTGATGATGACATTGTTGTCCAGAAGGATCTGACAGCATTATGGTCTGTAGACCTTAAAGGCAATGTAAATGGTGCCGTGGAGACCTGTGGTGAGAGCTTCCACCGTTTTGACAAGTATCTTAATTTCTCAAACCCTCATATTGCTCGAAACTTTGATCCTAATTCATGTGGCTGGGCATATGGGATGAATATCTTTGACCTTAAAGAGTGGAAGAAGAAAGATATAACTGGAATTTATCACAAGTGGCAAAATATGGTAAGTATATGGAATAATATTTTATCATTTAGTTCTTCAAAGTTGAATATGATGCATGTATAAAGAATGTCATGTATACTTAAGGATAAAAACGTGCATTACAATTGGAACTTATCATGATTTTGTTTCTTAACTTTGAATATAAAACTGCTAATAGGTCTTCATGCAGTAACATGACCATTGGCATGTGTTAAGTTCTATGCAGTTTCTATATGAACAATCAGAAAATTTAACTCAGTATAATAGAAACTGCACACAAACCTGTGTTTTGGTTTAACAAGCATTATAACTACCATAACTGTTGTTCCTTCTCATAGAATAGCATTATGATTTTATTCAGCATGCAGGATTAAGGCCACAGATCTATTCTCCTCTGATTAGCATCTGGAATGTCTTATTCTACATGTATGTTTTATTATGTGCCCTTCTTGTGTCGGAAACATTAGCTTTTGATAAATATTATCTGACATTCTATTTTCATTGTTGTCTGCATTTCATGTTTATTTATTTGAGGGGACCCCTCGGTACTCTATTCTGTATTGCTACAAACTTTTAACTCCACCGTTATCCTTTCTTATAATAAATTTTGAAGCTTTCTTCATCGTAACAATCCTTCTATTATTCCTGTCTTAGTAGCAATTAGTTGCAATTTTAAGCATAGTAACTTGGGTTGTTGTACCATTTATCCTCGATGGATTAAATTGTTTTCTCATCTGAGGTTCACTGGCATGGTGATCTTATAGCATTCTGCATACTATATTTTTTCTCTGTACTCTTAATTTAGAATATATTGCATATATACTGAACTTCCATTGCAGTTTTCTTTGATGCATATTTACATGGTGGTCTCACTTCCACTAGAATTGTTTATAGAAGTGACTTCAGATACAATGACTTCAGACATAACAGCCCTTTGGTTTTGCTATTTCATCTGAAGTTTGGCATCCATTGTCCTCTCACAATAACACATAATCCCTGACAAATTACTGCTTCATTGGCAATTTGAAAGTGAAATGCTTTAATCGGAATCTTGGCGTAACTATGCTGAATTTTAGTCACTGCCCACCTAAGTCCATGGATGTGACGTGGCTCACTTAATTCTAGTGCTTGGCACATGCAGAGTCTTTTTCCTTTTTCACGTGACACTTAAATTAAATGAGGGGTTAATTTGAATGTTTGACCTCGTCTTGTGGTGCCAATTAAATAGTCATCATTTTAATAATCTAAGAGCTTTGAGCTGATAGAAGTTCAACAGCCTCTGTATGGAGATATTAAAAGGGACATATAATTATGAGCAGACATATACTGCCTTGTTGTAGGAATGACTGTTAGTCACGTCACTTTGTATATGTTTCAAAGAACATGTTACATCAGTTGTCCTTGGCAAATTATTTTTAGTTTTTCATAATATTTATACCAATTTGCAGATGTAGACATACTCGAATTTCCAACAGCATTTTTCTGTCACTGTATTGCATGCATGTATTCTTATATGCCACTACATAAGCACATAAGGAGCACTTAGATGTAGTTTTAATAATTATTTTTCTCCCTCTTTGATATCTAGAATGAAGACAGAGTGCTGTGGAAACTTGGGACTCTTCCTCCAGGACTACTGACATTCTATAAACTTACACACCCGCTGGACAAATCATGGCATGTTCTTGGCTTGGGTTATAACCCTAGCATTGACCACTCAGAGATACAAAACGCTGCCGTCGTCCACTATAATGGGAACATGAAACCTTGGTTGGAGCTGGCAATGACCAAATACAGGCCATATTGGACCAAGTACATCAAGTATGATCACCCTTATGTTCGGGGATGCAAACTAAGTGAATAGGAAGAATTAGAAAGTGCAGGCCAGAAAACAGCTCCACTTGCTGAAGAAGTTAAGGTAATGGTTTGTCCATCTTATTTCCTTTAAGCTGGTGATTTGTAATGGTTTGTCCATCTTATTTCCTATTCCCATGAATCAATTTTAGATCCCATGACGTTATTCTCCTCCTGTGTAAATTTCCCCCTGTTGTTTGAGCCCCTTTGGTGGAGGGAGATTCCCCAGTGCTTTATTGTGTATCAGTACATGTAGAAACTTTATGATGGTAAGAGGGAAGCAGTTTCGGACTCTCTTTCCATGTACTTTCTTTTCTCTTCTTGCAGGAAATTTTTTTGTGACAATTTTACCTGTAAAGAATAGTGTTCTGGGCATGCGGATTTATATTGTTTTGCATTTGTGTTCGTTGAGCTTCTCCCTCGTTAAGGAGCAGTAAAAGTAGTTTATCATGCTTATCTTTCATGGAGTTGGATGATCATAAGTCTATGTAGGGCTTAGATCCTGAATGCATCATCATTTTCCGTGTTGATGGAGCCTACGCTGATACCAAAAAAATTATCCGGTGATGGAGAATCGATTCCATTTTGTTGCTTTGTTGGATTGCATGGTATATATACACTTCATATTGGCAACAATGAAACTAGTAAAATAATGAACCTACAAGTGTATGGTCTTGAAATTTTTTTTTAAATGTATCATGGTAAAACCCCAAATAAGCCCTAACCATACAAAGTTCGATTTAGTTTTAAAATTGAATCGAACTAAATTGGAATTGCTGATTTTCGTTCTTGGTTTTGGGAAATCAGAATTGATGATGATGATGATAGTATTATATGAACTTTCTAAGTATGCTTGTGTTTAAAATATTTTTGAAAAACAAAGATAATTTTCTTACAAAATATTTATATTTTGGGTATTTTTCAAGTAATACTCCCGATTTTTCTCAAATAGTACCCCTAATTAAAAAAAAATTAAAAGTTTACACGCCTATTATAGTATTTTGGCTTATTACAATAGTTTTGGTCTGTTACAATATTTTGGTTACCATAATAAAAACACTATAAAACGTATTTATAAATATTGTAAATAAGTCAAATGGAATCAAAACATACTAGACCAGTACTATTGACCAAGACGGGATCGAGTGTGGTAGTGCTCTTTATCCACCTCTTCTTTGGATACGATACTCTACATTCGCCCACCTGATGAGCATTGTATTTTTGGAGATCCATATTTGTGCATAGAAAAAAGAAGAAGAAGAGATTAAGTGGCAAGCAGTACAAATAAACTCTTACCTAAAAATGATTTCAATTCCTTACCACGAGGAGCTGGCTTAGGCTTATATCGACGAGCCATTACTGGCTCATCTAAAGGATGTTGGTCGACTCGGATAGGGTTGCAGATAATATCCTAAATTGCTTTATTTCCATCCGTTGCAACCTCGGAGCAGTATTGGAAAATTTTCAATTAGATCGATTCAAGTTGATTGGAGATCGATTCAAGTATTGGCCAATTATGTCTTGAAAAAATAAAAAAAATCTTATTTTTCAACCTAAGTCGGAGTATCCAATTGGATCAAGTAGAGATAAAGTATGCTAACTTTATGAACACTAACTATAATCGATGATAAGAAATATAAAACCAATTAGTCATCATTTGTCAAGTCAATGTCATATAAGGCCAACACCCTCGTATCCACAAATATCAAAACCCAAAAGGTTGCTTGGGTCAATTATCGAGTCGCCGAGTTGTCTTCTTTGCAAAATATTCATAAAATATTCGTAAAAAACAATGAAGACCGTTCAAGTTGGTTACAAACCAATGTTGTTATAGAATATGTGTAGAAATATTCCTAGAAGATCTAAAGGTAGTTCAAAAGATATTCTCCTCCTTTGAGATTAGTATAAAAATACGTCCATGGCTCCATATTAGGGTGGAGAGAAAAAAGAGAAGAAAAGGTGCAACTAAGTACTAACTTATGCGTCGGAGGGATTGACTCAGGAAACCCCTCTCGATCTTGGTCTTTGTATAGGAACGAGACTAGAGAAGCCCCGCTCTGCCCTAGACTACTCCTCGCATATGAATTAGAGCCACATTGTGTTGATACAGATATCAACAACATTTGTCCTTACACATTCCTCGACAAATGTCATGAGAAAGCACTGGGAATTTGGTACTATTTGGACAACTTCCAATAGTTGAAAGTAGCCTCAAAAAAAAATAAACGAAGAGGAAGTAAAGTCATGCCTTGAGTGCATATGTGTTGGTGCAAAATATGTGATGCAATAGATAAGGTCGGTCATTAGGTTGAGCAAGCACTAGCTTGAACTCGATCGGAACATGATAAACCTATCGAAGAATCTTTAGGTTACAGGTCTTTATTGCCAAGTCCAAGTTAAAGGACTCTGCACTAGATGGCCAAGCTGCACCACATAATGGATTCACCTCCATTAGGGGAGTAGCTTCCATTGGATTAGCCAATTTAGCTCCTTTCAAGGGCGAAGCTTTCTTTCCAATGTTAGGGGTGGTGATGGGTTAACATCCTATTTGAGTTCAAGGTGTTGGAGGAGAAAGCTGAGGAAGATATTGTAGACCTTAAGCTAGGTTGCTGGGAGGCCTTGAGAGTTTGTTTGTAGAGTCTTTGATTGTGAGTGCATGTGCGAAATCCTTCAAGCAATTGATTGGTATTTATAGGAGAGGAAGATAATGTTCCGCTTGCCCAATCCTCCTTTTGACTCTCGAATGCTTCGAGTAAAGTATGACACATGGTGCCATCAATATGGCTTAGGATGCATAGCACTATTCTAGGGTCATAGTAGTTAGACGAATCATCATCGTGATTGTAATCGAATCTGTCATAATCTACGTAATGACCATATGTCAGCAAGTCAATTTGCTATGACCCCTCTTTACTGTAGATACGTATGATGCGTGCACTTATATTCGAATCTACTCATATTCTCTTGCTCACCGATGGGGTGGTGTGCCTTGCATATGCGTCAATTGAACCCTCGCCTCACCGTACGACGATGACACTGATAATATACACTATCGCTCCTAGTTACCTAACCCTATCATGTTATCGCACCAAGCTTTGTAGCCTTCCGTGTGTTATTACACCTAGTTGTTTGATCTTATCGTGCCATCACACTTGGCCCTACGATCCTTCGTGGGTCATTACATTTGGTCGCATGACTCTGTCACGCTATTACACTTATCCCTTTGGCCCTTTGTGCATAAGTATGTGTGGTTGTCTGATCCTATGGTGCCATCACACCTACGATCCTCCGTGTGCCCCTATAAATGGTCATTGGACCAATAATACGTCACTTAGCACAGCTTCTCGATCCTTTGCGTATTGCCATCTTCAATTTTTTCTGAACCAGTACACCGTCGCCCATTGATGGCCGGTAATTATCGAAACGGTGCCGGTCGCTACTTAAATGCACTCGACCCCGGCACCACAGCCGACGGCACTCTTTCGCCGTATAGAGTAGAGTAGTTCCAGTCCAACATCCAATTCCAAACAGCACGACCGCGAGAGCGGTTGATCAATCCGGAGATCCGATTCGATCGGATCTGGCAGAGGCGCGCGGCGCTCCGTCCTTATTTGATGGGGGTGGCGGCCATGGCCGCCTTCATGGGAGTCCGAGACGCCATATCAACGGGCGCCGGCGGAGTGGCTGCATCGGTGGCGATGGCAGCTGGTGGATCTCCGGACGCTGCCCTGAACTTCGGCGACGGTGCCGTCCTTCCCTACTCGCCGGCCAAGGTGAAGGCTGCCCCTAGGGGCCGCGCATCCTCGTGGTCCTCCCTTCTCCTCCTCCTCGGCCGCACTCGGAAGCTCGCCAAGGTCCGGCTCCTCCTCGCCGCCGGTGTCCTGCTCGCCCTCGTCCTCCTTGCTAGCCCGGTGGGGCCTCCCATTGGGTGGAATCACCAGCCGTCTTCGTCCGCCTCCTCGCCCTCTAGGTATTATCTCACTGTCCCTGGGTCTCCTTCTATTCAAGTAGTATTTAGACACCATCAAGTTGTCATTTTTAATACGGCTTGAAGAAATTTGGAAAATGTATTGTTTTATCTTGCTTCAATGACCTAGGAGTCCTCTTGTTTCAAGAATTTGTTCTTGTTTCGACTCTGATCTTGGCTTAATCTTTTATTTGAGATTGTAATGGAAAGTAAATAACAAAAAGAAAACAACTGTTCAGTTATGGGGGGTTAAAACCCCTCGTCGTTCATGCCATTTTGGGACCATTTGTAGCTCAAAGTGGAAGACTGAATGAGGTCGGATATTTATGGAAAGGGAGAATCATGATCTTATTGCTTGTGGAAGATGAGCTGAACATTTATCTATTATAACAAAAAAACACCTTCCATAATTCTGAATCCAGCTTGACAGTATATCTACAATTCCTGGGACAATAAATTCCAAAATTGGCTGGATATATAGCTTATCTACATGAAACTATGGAAAATGAAAGCATAATTGTCTACCGGAAGCAACTGGTAGTATTTTGGTTCCTTTGGCATGACAGGTTGTCTATGGTCCATTTTAAGAGCCAAGACATGGACCATCATGTTCCATATACAAGGCAGATATGAGATATAAATAAGTTGTATGGATCAAATTCTGGGAACTTGGATAGAATTTGAAATAGTGGAGAGCTTCACACCTAAAGAAAATAAGTCAAAAATAACAACAGAGATAGATAGAGAGAGTGGATGTGTGTTCTATCAGTAGCATTAAAGTTGACTAGAGCTTTTTTCTATAGGGGAAAATCCAAAGGGAAGTGAGATCATGAGATGGGTAAATGGTTGTGAAATAGAATTATGACGAGTATTGATCAAATTGTCCCACTACCATACTTGAAATTAAAATTGTTAGAAGACTGATTTAGGCTACAACATTAACCTCTACTCTTTCAGTTTATTTATCATGACTACTTGTCATTGGCCTGCTAAGAAGCATGGATCCTTATATATGCTTCCAATGTCTACGTTGGGACACATCCAAAAAAACAATTATTTTGGATACTTTATTATTGGATACTTCAAATAATATTTGTATTTCTAATCTATGATGCATGGGCACCAATGAGCCCATATAAATGCAACAGTCAGTTAAATCCTAAGAAAACAGATGTATCACAACATGAATTTGGGAGCAAAAAAGTTATTAAAGCATTGATGCAAGCACAAAACCCAGTATCTCATAAACATAAAGCCCAAAACTTGAAACTTGAAATGGATTTTACTATGATGGATTCATTGACAATTCTATGCTGTTGAAGAAGTAGCATAATTAGTGGAGGTTCTTGGAAAAAATAATTCAAGGTGGTCTTCTCATAACATAGCGTAACATAAGTTCCAAAAGAAAAAGGTCCTCCGAAAATTTGATATGAAAATTGAGAACAATGAAGATATTGAGTGATTATAGAAGTATCTGAAGGTTACCTTCCATTTTGATATGATTGGCAATGAATGATGTACAAATGACACATGATATAAATCTTCTTGCGATGTGTTTTCCAATGGAGGTTAGGATTTTATACTTCTTTTGGTGTCCTTTTATCTTAGCAACTTTCTTTCTAGTTTCTATTGTGTCAGAAATTGCACAGGCCTGCCAAAATTGGTGTCCATTTATGAGTTATTTGGACACCAAAATTAAAAATGCTATTCTCAGCTTTTAAGATTTTAATGGTATGCAATTGCATTATTAAATGTTATACTACTGCTGATTTTATTAATTATTTCCATCATCAAATTATAGATTCTTTTTCTCCACATTTGGTCCTTGTACTTATCCAAGTTGCTTATTGTACTTTAAGGGATGGCTACATGGTGCTTATTAACACTTGGAGGCGCACTTCTCTTCTCAAGAAAGCTGTGGCGCATTATGCATCGTGTCCAAAAACTGATGCAATACATGTAGTTTGGAGTGAGAATGACCCACCACCAGAGAGCCTTAAAACCTATCTCAGAAATATTATAATGTCACGGTCCAGGAACTCACAAAAGCCTAAACTCCAATTCGACTTGAATGAGGAGGATAATTTGAATAATAGATTTAAGCCAATTAACGGTTTAACAAATGATGCAATATTTTCTGTTGATGATGATCTATTAGTTCCTTGCTCTACACTGGAATTTGCATTCACAGTATGGCAAACTACCCCAGACACGATGGTTGGTTTTGTTCCTCGCATGCACTGGTTGGATGAGGAGGTGAGTCATCTACTTTTTCGTGTGTTACGTTTTGTCTATAATCGTCTGGAAGATCAAGTTGTGGACTTCTGACAGATAACAAACCACTATAATATGCTTATTTACCCTTAAGATTTCCTTTCTATGCAGTCAGGAAAAGATGAATATTTGATTGGCCTATTTCATATTATTCCTTACACTTGGATTTGGTAGAATTTGTGTCCTTTTCTCTATATTCTCAAGAGTGGATTTAAATACTAATTCAAAACCGGTTTCAACAACTTGTTCGACTGGTATGGTACTAGAATACAAGGCAGTTATTTGATCCTATACCAAAGGTATGTAATTCGCTCGGACTGGTATGTACCAGTCGTTGGTTACCAGTCCGGATGTGAACCGGCATATGGACTATCCAATATCGGACAGTCCACATGCAATACAAGGCTTACTTGGTGGGGGCAGTAAGCCTTGTGAACTGAACGGTAAGCTCGGTTCTCCATAACAATATCTTTTGAAGCTGGTTGGACATTACTCGATTGGCTAGGGCCATTGTTTGGATTAAGTCCAATCTGCTCCAAAACAAGTTAATTCATGGAACTACAAGATGATGGGAATGCAGTTTTCAAGATTCACAACAAATGAACACTAATGGGCCCTAGCTTTTACTGTTTAAGAGCTTTTAGAAGCAAGCTTAAGATAATTATCACCTAGGGACACCTACACTATAGTAATCATCTCAAGTCACATGATCTCACCGAGGAACATATTCTGCCTCTAACATTTCATATTACAGAAGAATGGTGTGGTTTATTACAAATATGGTGGCTGGTGGTCAGTATGGTGGACAGGCACTTATAGTATGGTTCTTTCAAAAGCAGCATTTTTCCATCGGAAGTACTTGGATATGTATACTTACAAGATGCCATCAACAATTCACGATTATGTAACAAGAGAAAGGTCTGCAGTTGACAGTGATTACATTTTTACATTGGTTTTGCATTTTCATCTGTTTACTCATATATGGTCTTTGCAGGAATTGTGAGGACATTGCAATGTCACTACTTGTTGCTAATGTCACTCAGGCTCCTCCCATCTGGGTCAAAGGTGACATGGCGAATGCTCGATTTCATTATTCTATATCAAGAATTTCCTTTGTGTTTAGTGAAGAACAGACAATAGTTGTGAGATCTCAAAACCAATAATGCATTGCCTTGAACACAAGTAACATTTGTTGAAATTATGTATACTAATTATAATACGAGACAAAACATATTTTGGCAAGTTGATGATATAGATTGGTTGCTAATATATAACAATATAGTCCACAGACTGCTGCTCTTACCTCTTCCATCACAGCAATTCTATAACATCATTCCTGGGTCTCTCGTTGCTTTGGCAAAAAGCATTAAGGATAAATCACCAACCACTTCCCTACTGTTTGGATTTGATCAAGTACCTGTAAATTGATATTTTATGAGATTACCTTGATGATTTTAGCTGTGGTTACTCTGGTAGATTCCTGATTTCCCTTTTAAGAAACAAAAGATAGATGATGAGTACTCTTGCTATATACATTAGTATATTACCTTTGCAGAATTCCTTAGAAAATAGATCTAGAATTGGACTATTATTTTTATGCATCAAATATCTTGGAACCTCTTAAACACAAAATTATTCAACAAGTCTTTTGAAATTATGAAAAAGAATGCATGATTCTTTTTTTTTGAATTAGCATCTTTGGTTGACTAATATTCTAGTGTGTATTTCATAGGCAACACCTAGATGACATTACCGTTTTTATACTCTACTCAAGTTACATTAAAGCCATCTTTTTTCTTCATGGGTACTTCTCTTGTGTCAAGGGTAGCTATTTCCAATAAAAAATATGTTATGTAAAGCCAGATTGGATCTTAAATTGGAGATCCTTTAGGAAATTTAGGCCACGAAGAAGGCTTTTTGAATTACATGTACTGATGGAAAGCCCCTTGTTTACAAAATATATTTATTATAATGTTGAAGTGCCTTAGGATTATAGGAAAAAGACCAATGGCAGCCTTCAGCCATGTGTTATACTTAAACCTAAACAGTGCATGAGGCTCCCACTAATGTAAGATCTGAGAGTCACATATCATACTTCTACGTTATATCTTATTATATTCGTCTATATTGGGCTAAGGTGAATCTATTTGTGACCTCAAAATGAGCTGAAGTCTGGCTTCTGAGTTATAATACTGTTCTTTGGCATGGTTAATGATTTTAGTGAATATTATTTTCTATTTGACATTCTTTAGATGCATCAATTGTAGGGCCTGCACTCACATTATTATGGAGTTTTTTTTTACAGGAAAGATACATGAGATTGGTAGCTATGGTATTAGCAGTTTGGCAGGCCATAACAAAAGGAGGAATAACTGCCTCAATGACTTCATTTCCCTTTACGGAGCTGTTCCTTTAGTTTCAACCAACATAAAGGCTGTAGATGCACGAGAAGAATGGTTCTGGTAAACGAAAGGTCATCCTCTGAAACTGCATTTATCAACATGCAAGTAGACAAATCACCCATGTCCTGTTTCAATTCTGTTTATCTTTTTGCTTGGTCTCTGTGGTGAGGACTTAACATCTGCAGATTTTGCCACTGAATTCTTTCTTCATTTTAAATGTTCTGATCTTCTTACCTTGAGAGCATGGTAGGAACACTTCATTCTTTTTGCCAAAGCTGTGTTAGCAGACATTTGTTATACCTAAACAATGTTTACGAGAGTTATGAAACAACCACTGAATTTGAATTTAGTGACACAAACACTTTATTTCTATATTCCTTGGCATTGACAATTTACTCTAGTGAATTTACATTGGTCATTTTTTTCAAGGATTGAATTGATCTCTGAAACCATGCTTTAGCACATCTTGAAATTGGAGTGGAGAAAGAAATAGCTCAGAGAAGCTTGATATTAAAATGTGGATTATCAGAGGTTATATTAATTAATAATCATAGTGAACACCTAATCCTTAGAACATGACCTTTTGGATCTTGCCTTGATCAAACAATATCAGTATATTGTAATCTCATCCTTCCATCAACATAATGCATATTAGAAGAAGATATCACTCAATTTTTAACATGTTCAAGCATTACACATAAATGTCTAGAAACATGAAAAAGCAAGTCAGCAAAACTTGACAAGAAATCAGCCATAGATGAGAAACATGGAGATTGTTTACTACAGTGAAGTAAATACAAATATACTGTTAGAGAGAGAGAGAGAGAGAGAGAGAGAGAGATTTGTGGGGAATTCTCTCTCAAATCTGTAGGTTAACAGGAATGATTGTCTATATAGCTACCCCCAGTCTAAACCTTTGTTCTTGTGGTGGTAAGGTCATTGCCACTAATGATTATTGCTTTAGCTAATGTCGACCTGAGGAACAAAACCTGGGGAATGCGAATGTTATAATATATTCTATGGTGATGTATAACTTTGCTATTGATTGCAATGGGTTCTTAGAACCTAATGCTTATTGTGCAGGGATAGGGTATGTTATCATGGATAAACAAGGAATCGTTGCTGCTGGTTGTCCTCCTTGCCGTGTGCATAGTGTCAAAGCAAAGCAGTTTCTGAAGGACTCAGGAGAGCCAGAATTGATGGCCTGAAGAATCTGTGAGATCGGATGCATTGTAAGTGATGAACTGACTCAATGGAAAATTGGAGTTCATTGAAGCCACCAGAAGTTCGATAGTTGAAGACGTTTGAAATTTGATATATGTTAACAAGAATGTAAGTATTTTGGTTCACAACTTTTTGCAAAATTTGGTAGAATGGAACCATTATTGGCAGTTGAAGTCAGCTTGCTTTTGGTATCTGGAAACATTTCTTTGTCCCTAGTGGACGGTTGATAGAAGCTCTACTTTAAAAAAAATTAAAAAAAATATTATTATATTAAATAACATGTATGATACTCGCATATGAATTTGAACTACCTATCATCGAGACCCAGAAGCTATACTTTAACGTTAAGATTAAAAAAAAAATCGAAAGCACTTGTGAAATATATATTTTTTTGAGTTTTTAATTGATAAGAAAAATTATTGTCGATGTTTGAGTCGACCCAATGTGATCCAAACTCGAAATCATAGGAGTGTGTGAGGTGAAAGTGTCGAGCTCTTGAGGCATCACTTGCACTAAGATTGATATCGGGGGAAATTTTTTTATCCGAGTTAGTGATCGAGGTCTTTTTATAGGTATGAATTATTTTTGAGAAGAGAGCTCCTCGGTATGACACTGAGGATTATCTTTTATTAATTGCTCCACTGTCTCTCTCTTGATGTTTTTTATTAACATAGGTAAGGTTGTCTCGACTCATATGTCTTAAGCACATTTTGCCCTATGCCTCTGCCATGATATATTTCTCTTAACACGAGTTGAGTTGTTCTAACTCACACATCTCGAGCACATTTCGCTCTGCACCTTTGTTATGGTAGATTTCTGTTGGTGTAGGTCAGGTTATCCTGACTCATGTCTTGGGCAAATTTTGCCCTACGCCTCTGTTGTGATAGATTTCTCTTGGCATAGGTTGGGTTTTTCCAACTCATATACCTTGGGCACATTTTGCCCTATGCCTTCACCATGACGGATTTCTCTTGGCATAGGTCGAGTTTTCCTAACTCATACGTTTTAGGCACATTTTGTCATACATCTCCGTTGTAGCGAATTTCTCTTAGTGTGAGTCAGGTTTTCTTGACAAACATGCCTTGGGCAAATTTTACCTTGTGCCTTCGTCATAATGGATTTCTCTTAGCGTGGATTGGGTTATCCCGACTCACACGCCTCATGCATATTTTGTCCTACGCTTTCGTCATGGTGGATTTCTCTTGGTGAGGGTTGGGTCTTCCTGACTCACATGTCTCGGGCACAGTGATAGATTTCTCTAAGTTTTTTTAGGTCACACGTCTTGTGCACATTTTGCCCTACACCTTCACCATGACGGATTTCTCATAGTGTGGATCGGGTTTTCCCGACTCACATGACTCAGGCACATTTCGCCCAATAGTTTCTCTATGGCAGAGATTTCTTAGCATAAGCTGAATTTTTCTAATTCACATGCCTTGGACACATTTCGCTCTGTGCCTCCGTGATGGATTTCTCTTGGCCTGGGTCAAATTTTCTCAACCCATACGCCTTAAACACATTTCGCCCTCTGCTTTTACCATGACGATTTTTTTTTAGTATGGGTCAAGTTGTCTTGACTCACACACCTTAGGCGTATTTTGCCTTACACCTCTGTTGTGACAGATTTTGAGTCCTCCACCCATCGTGGTGGGTTGCAAGTCATCTCTGCACCATAGCGAATTTCGAATCTTCCTCTCGTCATGGTAGGTTGCAAGTCCTCCCTCGCGGATTTCTAGTCTTCCCTTTGCCATGGTGGATTTTAGATCCTCCCTATATCATGGCAAATTTTGGATTCTCTACTATGGATGGTTTTAAGCCCTCCCTCTACCATAGTGGGCCTTAGGTCCTCCCTTCATCGTGGTGAGCTTTAAGTCATCGCTCGTACCTTCTCGGGGTCGGCATTTATTTCTCTCTAGTAAACAATGAATTTGAGGAATTTTATCAAGTTGACTGCAAAAACATATTTGGATGGGTTAAGGTACATGTTGAACCTCTTCGGTACTTAGAATATCTCGTCTAAGTCTCCATATATGAGGAATTCGATACGATAAAAATATAGGTTGAAATGTGTTTGAGGCGTGTGAGTCAAAAAAACCTAACTTGCACTAAGGAAAATCTGCTTGACCAATGTGTGCCTTTTTGACGTCACGAAGGGGACGATTGGCAATGAGCTTTTGAATTGAACGTCATACTCGAGGCCCCTCTAATAAGAGTCCCAATGTATGCCTGGGTAAATGATAGGAAATACATTAATGACCAATCATCATCCGACACGTAAGTGTCATGTGAAAACTATCATGGAAGGAAAAAGATCTAGATTACCCTTGCCTATCTATCCGCATGGACAAAAGTCTAAAATAAACTGTTCATATTATCCCATCCAAGGTCAAATATAAAAAGTAATGTCTGATATCACATTGAGGGACTCTCTTTCAAAAAAAAAAATCTATACTCATATAGAGACATCGATCACTAACTTAAACATCGAAAAAATCGGATCGAAAAATTTCTCTCAACATCAGTTTTAGTACAGGCGATGCCCCGGGTGTTTGATACTTTTACCTTGGAGCCATCTCGTGGAATCACCTTTAACACTCCTATGCTCTCAGGTTTGGACCGCATCGGATCGACTTAAACTTTGACGACGATTTTCCTTGACGTTAACGATTAAGAAAACTATCGTAGAACAAAAGCTGACTTTAAGAAGAAACAACAAATTAAAAAATTACAAATAAAGTAGAAATGAAAATTTGCATACTTCCACTTCAAAGGAAAACCAAAATGAAAAGATGAGGCAAATCTTTACATCACATGCAGAGCAAGAGAATCCTCCAAAAAAAAAAAAAAAAAAAGACGCAGCCTAAACCATATACCAAGAATTTTCTTTTTCTTTATTAGTATTGTATTATATCATTAAATTCTCTCTTCTCAAAATTGAGGTTGAAATACACAACAAGATGAATCATGGATTCAGCATATCATCTGCTGTCACCTCAAAATTAATAAGATACATTAATAATCATCATCACTCTTCTGAAGCATAAAGACCACTTTTGGGTCTCATCCTGGGAGGTCACAGTGTTTTGACTGGAAAAGATAAGAATGACACCAGCAAGTAGCCAAGCAATTGCTGACACTCGTACATGTTCCTTGCATGGGTATTTGAATGACCAAAAATACATGTGACTTGTAATCATCAGAGAATCAAGAATTGCATGTCGCAGCTCTCGCGGCAGTATTAGCCTCCTCTGTGTAAAGTGGGATTCCTCCACCAAGTTCTTTGAGTCTCGTCACCATATCATGGAGCCACTCAAAGGTCAGTTTTGACTGAGCATTAAGTTCCTCTCTTACTTGAGGATGTATCCTGAACCAATCCCCTAACATCTTGTGGACATGGGAGCGAATCATTCGCCATGGCACTGGATACTGTTCACAGAACTTCAAATACTCCACTACCAGATCTGCCTGGTCCAATCCCCCATTGTCCTTAATCTCATCTGCGTTATTTTCTTTTGGTTCCATTGTCCTGAATCCAGCAAATAAAGCTGGATTTTCGAGAAGAGACTCAGCTGATAGAACCCCATCAGCACCTGTGTGGTCCAAACAGTTGTAAACATCTTCCATGTGACGTATGTTTCCATTGGCGAGCACAGGTATCCCAATGGCATCTTTCACAGCCTTGATGGCATTCCAATCAGCTCGGAATTTCTTCCCATCCTTCTCATCTCTAGTCCGGCCATGAACAGCTAGGAGAGCACAACCAGCCTCTTCAAGCATCCTGGCATATACTATGGTGTCTTGTAGGTTTGGGAATATTCTAATCTTACATGAAACTGGAACTTGAAGATTTTGTGACAGCTTCTGGACAAGTGCTTTTATGAGAGGGAGGTTATCCATGAGGAAAGCTCCATAGTTCCCTCGCCTGGCAATCCGCTGTGGACATCTGCAAGTTTAAAGATGTAATGAATCATAAAAGAATATGGAAAAGTCTCAGACAAGATATGTCACATCATATATTTTAACTCCAACTATTTAGCACCAAACTAATGTTATATAAATACAGTTGAAGTACCAACTATATCGATTGTACCATACCAGTCCAAGTTCTTACAACAAAAAGTATACTGGTAGTTCAACTAATTCACATTTCAACTCATATAAAAAAAAATTTCACACTTCAACCAGTTTGTTCTATTTTCCTAATGGTACTGTAAAGCATTATGGTACCCAAGATTTAATTCCTTGCAAAATGAACTAGTTGGACAAACAAACCTAAAAATTCTATTCAGAATGCACAAGACAAATATATCAACAATGTGAAACAAGTCCACACTTGAAAAGCACTTCAAGCTAAAATTAGTGACCATTGTGTGAGAAAATAAAATTAGTTATATAAAAAACGGCAACCTTTTTCATTTGAACTTGATGTAACCAAGTAAAATCCCTTAGTTATACACTGTGACAAGGTCCATGACCACAGAAATCCAATTTTTAGTACACATCTTGTATGAAACTGCATAATTTTCTCTTCTAGATGACAGCCTAAGCAATTATGAAATAGACTCAAGCTTCTTCAAAGAAAATACATGACAAACAATTATTCCCAAATGCTGCATCAGAAACCGAGGATAGAAATTGGGTTCCTCCATACACAGTCAAACAATTTGGTATATTTGGAGGCTATTTCCTAAGCAAAAAAGGAGTAAAAAACTACCTTGCAAAGACCACAATACAGCAAATTTGTAACTGTCCTCCCAAGTCAATAAGAAGCCTCAAAAAAGAAGAAGTCCCTCTTAAATGTGCATATATAATATAGAATGAGAACATTATCACATACTCGATAGTATTGTTTCAACTATTATATCCAAAGCTAGAGTTAACTATGGAACATGATAATATGTTATTCATCACTTAGAACTCGAGTTGTCCCTAATAACTTATCACTTGAATATGTTATTACATGAGTGTAAATATTTTATAAAGTCATTTTTGGTCTCAGCATGTACTTTCTCATTAACAATTTAAAAAAACCACTTGGACCCGACGTCAACCAGGTGGTAGATACCACAATCTGACAGACAATCAGGCTCCGGACCTCAAGATCGCTGCAACCGGCCCTAAGCCTCAGGCCTCCTTAGGAACTCAGATGACACTGGTCTGGCTAGTGACTAGTAAGGGTCCAGTATCAAAAAATTTAAACATGCTTTATTGTATGGTTCTACATTTTGCCATATATACTAAATGTGCCTCCCAAGTCAGCAGTACATACCATGGCACGCATCTCCTGATATCGTGTATACTCAAATCTTAAAAGTTTTGTGTCACATGCCAACATACCCTGTCGATACATAGGCACATACAAGACCTATACCAATCTAGCCAGGGACCAGCACGAGTCTAGTACCCGAAACATCAAACTATGCTTTGTAGTATAGTTCTTTATTTATACTTAATTAAATATTAGTTAAAATATTATGCATGCTACATATGTAATATGGCATAATGAGTTGCCTGCATACTACAACTGCTTTTTGTAATATTGCCCCTTGAAGAGTAATCCTCTAGTAGAAGACAATTTCTATCAATCGGATCTTGCATCCACCATCACTGTTCCAAATACCACATATACTCAATATACAATAAGAACCTATGTTTATGTTTTACAATTAGCAATAACCTATGATGCAGAAGCCAATTGCATGCCAACTATAGTGATCAAACTGTTAATTGAGATAGTAGTCACATCATGTATAGATGAAGTAGAATGATACAATCATAAATTAGGCCATTGAAGGTGGATACTAACTCTAATGTTTTCTAGACCAATCATAATGCATCATGCAAAAAGTTTCACCATATCTTACCACAGGTGAACTTCTAAAGAACAAATTTATAATTCATGATTATTCTCATTACTGAAGAAAATGCATAACCAAGTATTTGAAGTCCGAATATGAAAAAGTACCCAAGGTTTATGTCCACATAATCACAATAAGGCTCGACCATTTTTGCTGCTTCCAGAAGAACATCAGGATCATTCGCACAGAATTGCACAAAGAGAGGGCGATCCTCCTGCACTAGATAACATAGAGAGAGGTTATCATACTTAAACTAACTAACTCATTGGGATTTGCCTGCTATATATATATACATATATATATATATATATATATATATATACATATATATATATATATACATATATATATATATATATATATATCGGCAGTGTGAAGCATTCAAAATATGGCTAACTCCACAAGTCAATCACTTCAAAGTTAACTATGACAAATATATTTTAAGTTACGAAACAAAATGTATGTTAGGGTACATTATGAATGACTTTCACTGAATGTGGTTCAATAAAGAGGGTGAACAAGTATTGTTGCCTCTACTTTCTGGAGTAGTTATTTGAAACACTTTCATGGCATGAACTTATTGTCCAGCAAGACTATTGGCACTATTCTACACAAATGGAGGCAGAACAGTCAAACCTACAACTAAGAACAAATGTTTTCTCAATATTAGTAAAAGCCTCATTCAGCAAATGCAATTAGTTAGAAAGCACAGCAAATTCATAATGATTTTGTTTTCTGAAATTTAAGATTAGCGGACGATTTCAAAATAATTTTATCTATTAATACAAATTTATGTTAAATGATTGTTACAGCATAGCAATTTATTGTATCTCAACCACAGCCTAGCCTATCACTTTCTTTCTTAATCATAAAATAATATAACATAAATCAATTATTGCATTAGATGCTATGAAGAACATGGTTAATAAATGTGTTTCACACATTCTTTTTGAAGAGAATTACACCGTTTTATTCTTCTTCCTAAAGGTACTCTTTTCTACAGTTGCACTGTGAGATATGTTCTTTATGGTGGAGAAACAACTAATGGAATATCCATTTTCTTGGAGTCATTTTTAAACCAAGAGACCAGAAAACTAATACTCTACTACTAATCATTTAAAGAAGATGAGAAAAAGAATTGATTAAAGGATGTCAAAAAAGTGAAAATTTCATAGTAATTTTTACAGAATGTTCCTTCCATTACAGTATACACTGTATATCCATTAAACATAAAAAAATCTAAACTTCAGCAATTTTGATGCATTCACCGGTCCAAAAAATATCATTGACTGGGTAAATATGCATGTCATTGATTATTAGAACAATATGGTTCCCAAGATTTTCCTTTGGTTTAACAAGTTATGGTAGTCTCATTACTGGAATGGAAGCAGCTTTGACCCCATATAAACCTTGAAATTGACCCATCAGTTAGACACGACTGCTGAACTACCATTTCCAACCAATCTAATGAGCCCTAGGCACATCAATATGGCATTTAGAACTCATTCAGATGACAGACACATCTAACCTTGCAGGTGGTGAATTCCATGCTCCGGTACTTCTCAGTCTCGGAGAAGATCCTCGAGTGGAGCATCGGCGTGTAGGCGGCCTCGGCGCCGTACTTCCTACAGAGCATCCGGAACGGCAGCTCGGAGTTGTCCACCATGGGCGCGACTACGAGCTTGGGAGAGCCCAGCCGATTCCAGTGGGCCCAGGCCCGGTCGACCCGGATCTCCCCGCTCAGCGGGCGGCCGATGGGCTCCGTCGGCGACAGCGGGGGCGGGTCGGAGAAGGAGCAGAGGTCGAGGGCAGCGCAGAAGCGCTCGTCAGGGTCCTCCTCGGACTCGAGTTGCGGCGGCGGGGGGTCGGCGGCCATGGACGAGATAGGGTTTAGGCGGCGGAGAAGGCGGGCCTTGGGGTGAGGTTTGTAGGCGGCGGCGGCGGCGACGGAAGAGTGCAAAGGCCGAAACCTCATGCGCTCTCCGTCCCACTTTGTAAGAATCGAGTCCTAACTTCTCAATTAAAACTGAAAAAAGGGCACTATTTTATACATCCCTCTAAAATAAGTGATTTCCGAATTTAGCCCTGTAAAATGAAGTTTATCGCTTATATTCTTACATAATTAAAACTTTTGCCGTCAGAAAATCTAAATGACATTAATACACTTTAAATAACTATTATAATCATCTCATATTATTACTATTTAGCTATTAAAATTATATTTTCTAACTCAGAAAATTTAATGTTAACTATAGTATATATGTATATATATATACGATTAACATGAGTTAATATATCTCTGTTGCACAAGTGTTAGATCTGTTACAATATACCTGTTAAATTTTTATATAAAAATTTATACATGAAAATTTACAATTTTAAAACTCTGAAAGGACAGATAATTAAAGCTCAGAAAAATCCAATGATTAGTTTTTCTTCGTTGGAAAAGGTGAGTCTATCGTTCATTCATCCCGTACTATAAGGACAAAAGTAGGAAGATGAGAAGAGACATAATATTTATGTTCCATCGTCAGTGTTTGATGGTTGCGTAATATTCATATATGAAGTCATTGGGCAAATAAACTTTTCCAATAAAGTATATTTAATTTACAGAATGATACAAGTCATGAAAAAGAAATTAATTGCACTGTACAGAGCATTACACACCCATACAAGACTGAATCCACAGCACGAATTATGGAGGAGCATGCTAGCTTCCCATCAAGTTTCATGTGAAAACCCAGCGTAATCCTACAAAAGGAACAGATGCACATGAGAAGAATTAACAATGGCACCAAGACCTGGTAAAATAAAAGAAAAAATTAAATAATTATGCATTAGTTCTACTTAAATCCAAATTACAAAGGCCTTTTATTTGTGCAACATTTTCCTAATACATCAAGCAGAACGTTCTCTCTTAGCTAAAAGAAAAACCTGTTGATTGATCATTGTATTCTCTTGATGACTCAGTTACTTATGCAAAGAAATTTGAATAAGAGAGCAATTACAAGAATTGGAGAACATATCATGGATGATGTAATGGAGAAGACAAATAAGAAACATAATAAGCTCTGTCAACTTCCCCATATATAGGACATGATGACTAAATTTAAACCCCATATGACATGTACCAATGGATATTCAGCTTAATTTTTATCTTTTGTTTCAGATCTTTCTGTCAACAGAAGCAACAAACAGAAGTGACCATAAACATTAAAAGAAAACTCATACTAAAGAAAGATGCAGACCTATTATGATTAAAACATGGGCTTTCAATTAACTCAACCTACCTGTAACAATTTGTTTCTATTATGTTGATCTATTCCAGTCAATCCTTCTCAATATTTTGGGTTCGCTGTATCCTTTACAAGAATTGGTTAAGCAACTATCGGGTAGAAAGATACCTTAGTTTCTTAAAATAGGGACTAATATTTTATTATTTTAAGCATCATTCGATGAATATTATTATATATGGAGAGTTTATCCCCTTTTGCCACAAAATATCCATTTTACATGAATCAATAACTTTCAGAATATGACTCTAAATAGGAAAAAGAACAAGCGTGATTTATACTACACCCATATTGAGATATTTTGAAACTAAATTGACATAAGGAATTTAGAGATTAAATTTACCTTTGCAAATAAGGAAGAAAATATAATTCTATTTCAGATCCCAGTACGTCTAGCACTCCTCTACCATCCAAGCAGGACAACTCATTTTCGAGATTCAATATGATTCTAACTTGGTCTTTACCTAGATCTAATCTTCAAAAGGTTTAATTTGATTATTCTCCAACATGTGTTATTAATTGAATATCAGGACCCACTAGTGAATACGTCCAAGTGCTGTGAAGTCGAGCAAAGATCTGGATCAGCCCATCTAGGCCATTGGGCTTTGATTTCTGCGAGATCGTTTTTACTAATATAAGAGTCATAGGATCACAAAGAAATTCTATTATAACAAATCCCCACCTCTCAAATTCGCCTTGGCCACAAAGTGGTTCTTTTGGAATCATTGGACCCATGTTGAAACTAGAAGTCAAACAAGTCATTTCATCTTCATTGGACAAGACAGTAAATTAGAAATAAGAAACACATGACCATCTGTGTTAAAGACTGGAAATACTTCCGAAAAAATAACTTGAATGCAGTGTGGAACATCTAGGAAGCTGCAAAAAAAATTTAATATTAACTAATTAATGAAGATGAATTATAGAAGTTGACATGCAAACATACCTTAAGATTGGAACAGAGTAACAGTAGCTATATAACCATTCTTCATAACCTAGTAAAGTGCAAGAAACACAATATTCAAAGGTCAATTTCAATAGAAAATTTTCCTGCACAGGGTTCAATGAAGTGAAAATCTTGGCAAGGATACTAAATAAAAGTTTACAGCAGACTTTGTATTTCTGACCTCGAATGCCACATTTTGGTATCCATAGACAAAAGTTGATCCAAATGGATTGGTCATTGAACCTTGTGTTTGAATTGCAGCACGACCACCATCCCCAAGAATCTCCTACATGTATATGTGAAATAAATTTTCTTTCAAAAAGCTGACGTAGTCATTGATTAAAGAAATACTTGTAATTCAGTTGTGAAGTTTGCGATCCAAACTAAGCAACATGTATGGATAGAGATATAAAATTTTTAAATTATAAGAAGACAGAATTCACAAAACACTATCCACCTCTGGTGAGCAATCTCTAATGGTCAAAAAAGACTAAAGGTCATCCATTTCAATTGAACTAGGGTAATCTAGTCTTGATTTCTTGAATAAAATGTAACACTGTCCTACTTTAATTTTTCAACAAGCTTTTCTTTTCATAAAAAATCAAATACTAGTTCACAGTTAACAAAACACTAAGCGTTTCACAAGAAATTACAGTCAAGGCTGATAAAGATACGCATTTCAGTTGGGGTAGGGTTTTCCTGGTTCCTTGATGCTAACACTTCCACTTCGATTGCATACAAAAAATGTTTTGTTTTATTTCCACATGAACTCGTATGTTAATTTGAAGCATGCAAACCACATTTTGAACATATCAAAATCAATTATTATTAAATAACTGACCTCTATCTTTGGTATATTATAGGACTAATAAACATCAAACAACTGTTTTATTTCCACATGAAATCATCTATGAATTCTTAGCATGAAAACCACAGTTTGAACACACCAAAATCAATTGATGTAAATTAAAGTGACCTTTATCTTCTTGTGGATCATAGGCTAGTAAACACAAACAGCAACAAAAAATCTTAATGATGGAAGACTAAGATCAGAGTAGCCTATAAAACTGCTTACTCTGAAGATCACCGCAATGTAAATATAGCACCAAAAGGTAAATGAATTTCCAACATTACAAAAACATAAACTTATAACCTGTTAATTCTAAGCATGCAAACCACATTTTGAACATATCAAAATCAATTATTATTAAATAACTGACCTTTATATTTGGTATATTATAGGACTAATAAACATCAAAAAGCTGTTTTATTTCCACATGAAATCATATATGAACTCTTAGCATGCAAACCACAGTTTGAACACACCAAAATCAATTGATATAAGTTAAGTGACCTTTATCTTCGTGGATCATAGGCTAGTAAACACAAACAGCCACAAAAACCCTTAACGATGGAAGACTAAGATCAGAGTAGCCTACAAAACTGCTTACTCTGAAGATCAACGCAAGTAAATATAGCACCGAAAGGTAAATGAATTTCCAACATTACAAAAACATGAACTTATAACCTGGTAAACCAAAGGTCAATTTTTAATTGCAAAATGATTCAGTTAGATGCAAAACCAAATATAATGAGCTTGAAGAGTTTCTACTACAAACTTGCATAGTTGTAAAGCTTCACCTTTACTTGTTCCCATTTTGTGTTTGGCGTGATGCAATTTTTAGAAGTATTACCGGGTTGAATTGTTCCTTTATCGTCAAAAAGAAAGCATATGTTAAATAATTCAGATGTCAGCAAATCAACTTCAAATATTAAAGTGTAACAGTATTCACCATCAGAGTCATAGATAACAAAGTTGCATTTCATATATGTATTGAAGTCTGAATGCCCTGGAAAATTTGTGTGCAACACGAACTTCTTGATTTTATGTGTCTGCATATTCAAGATACAGGAACATAGATAATAGAATATTAGAGACCAATAACGACCTGTATTGTGTATTCAGGAAAATAACAGTACAAATCTTTCTTTTTGATATCCACCTGTCCATCAAATAAAATGTCCAGACCACGAGAGAAATAATTATAAAAGTAATCTCCACAAAGAGTTGTCCGAGGACGGGGATCTGAAGCAGAGTGGATAACCATTTGATCAACCTAGAACATTAAAGAAACATCAAACCCTCAACATCTAACTAGATAATGCCATGCTATCTACTACAACAATCTTATCCAGAAAATTTAACCATATAGAAGTTACTGGAGCAAATCTAGGGTTTTGTCTTATGTTTTAAACCTTCCATATAGGAATTGTTGTCCAAGTAATTTAAACATCAAGCCTTGCATCCTCTGTCTCAAACATTTCAAGATTCCAACATCACCTAAGTTTGTAAGAGCATTTGCTTTCATAAGTTCAGAAATTAGATATCAGCTTGTATTTAGCTCCTACTGAGCTTGTATGTTTTACTGCACATCTTTTTGCTCCAAAATATCTATGCCATAGTTTAAAACAGAAATTAATAGATAACATAAAATCAGTCAACTAAAAATGAGATCCAATTACACATAGTAAAACGGCAGGAACATACCAGATGCCCTAGATAAATGACATCTCCACTCTACTTTGATTAGTATTTCTGTGGTTCTACTACAATCACACATCCTCATGTTCACAGTTTACACTTAAATGTATTTTAATTAACTAAAAACCACAAGTTAGGCAACCAAATGATTAGAGACTGTACTTTTTTTTCCTAGAATCTACAACTCTTAAGTTGCCGAGACTCAGAAGCAACACTGTATGGACTAAAAATTGTAGGGTATCTCTTTCATAGGGATCTTCAAAGCTTAATAACAAGAAAAACTAAAAATTTAATTTGAAATTAGAACAAAAAACAAATGGCAAAATTACTTACCTGCTTTTGGTGGATTCCACAAGGACGACCTAACTCCGTCCAAACATCCTACAAAAACATCTACTAGCAAATAATCAGATCATCTTTGGTCTAGTATAGGGTTAGGAAAAAATAATAAAATGAAAATATTATATACACACATGGAAAATAGTAAAACATTGTTAATAACTATTACAGCACATGGCATCTTATAGAGAGGGATTTTCACAAGCAAACTTATAAATAAAAAAATTAAACATCCGGATACATTTAGGTAAGAAATAAACATCCTTCTTTCATGAAAAAGAAGAAAACAACTTGCCTGAGGTGATGCACCAAAAGGAATGTGCTGACCTCCAACAGTGAACCATAATTCTTCTCCTAGCTGTAGATGAGAAGGCAAAAAGGACAAAATTCATAGGTCTGATGATGGCATGCCATATCCAAATTATTGAATACAAAAGTTTTGCTGCACAGTACTGCATGATTGTGAGACTTAAAACAATACTGCCTGAGCAGAATGAAAACACAGCATATCCAAATTATTGAATACAGAAGTTTTGCTGCACACAACTGCATGATTGTGAGACTTAAAACAATACTGCCTGAGTAGAATGAAAACACAGCATATACTAGAAATTGGAAGATCCGAACCTTAGCATGCACCTCTTCCATGTATAGACTGCCAGCAGGCAGCGGAGGAACTGAAGCTTTGTCAAGAAGTGATCCCACACCAACTTTACTATCTGAAGAACCATCATACACAGAGACACGGCATGCAACTGGAGTTGTTCCATCAGGAAACTCAAGAGGCAACTCTGCTGAGACTGTCATGGTAGTTAGGTTATTTTAGTTGTTAATAACAAATTTCACAATGACAAACAAGGGAAGTGGTAAAAACTTGAAAAGTATCAACTATCAAGTACCTTCTCCATTTTGGCAGCAATATGTATATTGGCTTGGAATGGGAAAAGCAAAAGACAACCCCTACAAGCAGAGTTATTATGTAATACAACATTCAAATATGAAGCTGCAAAATTGTATTTATACAAGATCATGCAGTCACCATATTTACCGGATAAAATAATGTATAAATTCCTCTAACTTGGTCATAAGTTCCAGGATACGTGGGTCCAAAAAGTGCATAGACTGCTACAAAGGTGGCTAATGTTGAAGGACCACTAAGGATAAAAAGATTAATAAGATCTTACTATAAATCACTGATAAGAATACAGAAAAAATAAACTAACCCAATTAGAGAATTTGCATAACGCATCTGTAACCGTTTGACATCATAAACCTCAATGAGACGCAACCTCTGCAAAAAAAAGAAAAAAAAAAAAAAAGCAAGTTCTAAAATTTAAAACAGCAAGAAGCAAATCATAACATTCAAAGAGGAAGAATCAAGGGTCTAAGTCAGAAGAACTACAGTATACAGTAATTTACCATGTTATTCAATGGCAAAATTTGCCCATTCCTAAATTCCTACTAAATTTCCACAATTACTAAATTTTGTGTAAGCCAAGGAATTTATTTAGTTCACCATAATTATGATGCCAATTATGTTGCAAAAGTAGCAGTAAGATTATTAATTCCACAAATTACTAAACAACCCAGCGACTCATATTCTTCCAATAAATTCATACATAGTATGCACTTAAAGATGTATCTAAAAAAATCCAAGTGTCCTCCACCACTTTTAACATGATTAACAAAAAACATAAGGATACCTGTGTCCAAGGATCAAAACGCAGATGAAAACCATGATCCGGAAAACTAATAACAATGTCCAACTTTAGAGGCTCCTGCAACATATTGAAAATAATACAACCAACATATAAGGACATTAAAATGCATAGCCAATGTCAAGTAAACTTTTTAGCTCATAGCTGTGCATGCTAGGACATCAGAGAAAAAATTATGGTACCTTCTAAGAATCCAATGTACAGAAGTATACGTATATATTGCTTTAGAACTTATAAAATAATATAAAAGGTAGATTTTGTAAGTAACTTTCGAGGACATTAAGGTAAAACGTATAAGTGAGATACAACGAGTACCTAGGAGAGACAAAAAAGACAAAATGGCCCAAAATGTAACAAAAAAATATTTGTAAAAAAAGATGTTTTTCCTAACTATTAAGTTAAAAATCAAAGAGTTTAAAGCATATCTTGGGAACTAGTTATTCCAGTAAAAAACTGAGATTTGCTAGCAAGGGACACAAAGTTCCATGTGGAACTAGCCGTATAAGGTGAACCACCATCCATTGACACTGAAACCAGATGTTTTTTGATGTATGAAGTCAACCTAATAGCCAATGGCTTTTGCACCACTCTATTCATGGCATGCATGTATAATTCTGCTCCATGGTCAAGTGTCTAATTTATCCATCTCCGCAAATTCTTCCTCTTCTACTTGCCCAAGGACTTCAAAGAAGCTTCTTCACCTTCAACGTCCATAATCAAAAGGTTGGAAACAGCCACACCCTTATGACCAAAAGTTGACTCTCATTACAATGAAAACATAGCCCTTTCCTTATTTTGTAGGTTACTCTTGCCCAAACAATATGATGAAGCTAACCTATGACTGAAATATCTCTGCTCTCTCCCTCTTTGGTTTTGTCCTTGGGGATTTTTCTCTCAAGAGTCGATGACTTCTGTGTCAAGTGAGATAGGGTCACAATGACCGACTCTGCCCTTGCCCTTGCTGGTTCCTAGGCAGTCCAGATAGGGGTTTTAGCTGGGCATAGGATAAGGACAAGGCCCATAGAACCTTCTTTGTAGCAAAGATACATTCATTTGAAACTATTATGGATAAATTATATTTTATCAACAATCCTTGTGCCAATAGATGCACAAATTACATGTGTAATATGTTAACTATGCATGTGAAACATGTATGAACTCATTTATGAGCAATAAACTAGATTAAAAAGTTCTAAAGTGTAAGAAAAAAATTATTTGCTACAAAATTCACCAGTCACTAACATTTTGTGGCCATCATTCAGAGTCTATTAGAGCATACCAATATTCAGCTTAAAAAAATAAAGTAAAAGTTATATGCATGCACAGCAATTAATTTAAATGAAATGAAGCAAAGAACAATTCACAGGTAGTAAGCACTCCAACCTCATCAAGATACTTCACATGGACCACATCATATATGTTGGGTTGATGCTCAACTTGAGCAAATGCTTCATGTAATGGCATACCTATATGAAGTACCCAGAATGTGAACATAGCATAGCCAAAGAAAGACAGAGTATTATTAGAAGTTTCAAGATTATTAACATTTGAAATGTAACTTCAAGCTTTAATCTTCCTAGAGATTAGAGAACCATGGCCTTGAAGCATGAGAAAGAAACAATGTTCTGCATATAATCATATTACCATAAAGACCATCTTCATGCACAACAAGTTCAAATCTTCAACAAAGCTAGCTACGTATTTGCTTGTGGTGAGTCTGTCATATTTAACTAACCAACAAGCCCATTCTGACCAAAATAAGATTAATGTAGTTTCAAAACGATTACAAAAGCTCAACCTTAGATGCAATTGAAAATTTTCTGGAAAATAATAAACATTTATGATAAGTTGTCCACCACCTAAAATTTTAGGAGACTGATTATAATAATACAAATAAAAAAATGCTCAGATTATGTTTCTTCACAACTTATAATAGACCATAGGCTGAGTTCTCATCCATCGGAAACAAGGTATGATATAATCAATCCAAAAGTTGTTAATTTAATGTTGTAAAGTGTTATTATGGCTTCCTAGTATTGAGGATAAGAATGAAAATGGATAGATCACACAATTTATGGTTTATATTGTAAAAGTTACAGTATCCTCTTCAAAAGTATTTGTCGAGTGATGAGGTTAACTTATTGCTCACATCTCCCATAAAAGTGGATGCTTAAAAGGCCATGAGGACATGCTTAGCAAGGTATTAATTTAATAATGTCTTAGTAGTAATCTCTTCCCTCTTCTCTTGTTATGTGAAGCCTCTCTTCTACTCGGTGGATGCATAAAAGTGATTCAATCTTCCATGATAAATGTCTACACGCTTTACAATGACACCTATGACATCCATAGATATCTAAGGGCACAACCCTAACAAATTCTATAGCATCTCCAATGCTAGTGACAATTGCTTTTTGTGCATATTTTGGATCTTACTTCAAACCATATGCTTCCAAATAAATTGGAAAATCTAGGTGCTGTAGTTATGAAAAAGGCAACAAGTTGCTTATCAAGAATAATTAGCAGCTGTCAGCTGTTGAAGAAAATAAGATGTGATCCAGCTGAACCAATTACAACAGGTTTCAGAAAACTTAGCAATAAGAACTAAATCAATTAATGTAAAACCCAATAGCATAATTGTGCTAAATAGAGCAGTAACAGCAAAGAAGAAAGAGAAAATTGAGTAGGATAGAACAGGCAAGAAAGAGAAAAAGAGACTAGACATTTTTTTTCCTTCTCAAATAACTTCAACATATATAATCACCAAAAAATCTCTTCCTTTATTTATTACAATCCAATGTAACTTCAACTAAGCCTACCAAAAGCTCAGAATAAGTCACCATAAAATCAATGTAGCATAATATTCACACTATAGTGATTAGTGATGCATACTGTACCACATCTGAAAAGATACTTAATTGGTATGAACTTTACTTCCAAACCAGCAAGCTGCACCAAAATATCGTATCATATCGAGTTGAAATCTAACTAGAATCAAGTAAATAGATTACACCCAGATTGACTGAATTAGCATCTACAAGAACCTAATATATTGAGCATTCCATTTTTCCAAACTGAATCGAAATTATTGTGATTGAGCACAAGCCTTGCATCTATTTCAATGGCCTTTGATATGTTGTAAATAATCCTTTCTTCCTATAGAAACATGTTGGTTCAGGGTATTGAGCAACATGGAAACTGAGAACTCCTACTCCATTATGAACCCCTTGATTTAAGTTATGATAATTCAGTATAGTCATTTAAGCAAACAATTCTTTTTACCTTTTTTGACTCGTCTACCCACATTCTAATTATGCACCTTCCCAAATCAATCAAACATTAAATACAAATGCTTTCACTATTTTTTTTAAGTTCGCAATTAAAGCTAGACAAGTGATCAGACAATATGAATAACGCAAGTGATGAATCATGACATGTAAATCCTTTTCTTTCATGCAAATGCCAACACAGAAATTGATGGCTTAAAGTCATAAAATCCCACACGATAAACGAACCAACAAAGAAGTTTGCGCCACAAAAATCTCAACCTCCAATCCTTGATAGACAACCAACGAGCCTACCGTAACCAAATCAATTGGAAGAACTAATTCGCGGGCTAATCAATTTATTTGCACCAACCAAGATGCAATTAGGATTAGGGGGGTATAGTCAAAAAGGATTTGGATAGAGAGATGCGTATACCAAGGTTGAAGGGGCCGATGCCGAAGCCGGGGCGGAGGTCGAGAGTTATGGCGCCCATGGCCGTGCCCTCGCACCGCCTCCTCGGCGGCCCCGGAGCCGGCCCGGCCGCATTCGGCCCACCGGTGGATCTCTGGTGGTGCTGGAGCTGCTGCATCGCGTATCCACCACCGCCCTCGCCCTCTCGTGCGGTCTCAATGTTCTCTCGCTTCGGCGTCGCGTCTTCCGTCGGGTCGGAACCTTTGCCCCGTTGCGTTACGAAACGTCTCGCTTCGACCTCCTGTGGACTTCTTGTGAAAGAAACTTGACCTGGATCCTCTCCAGTTATAATTTCAATTTCGACTATCCAATTGTGACCGTCAACTCCTAAGAGAAATTAATTAATTAATTAATTATATATATATATATATATATATATATATATATATATATATATATATATATATATATATATAGGGGGTTACATATATAGCATAAAGATGGATATTTGAGCAACCACAAAACCAACTTATAAGTTCATGATAGAATAAACATGCCAATTCTTACACTAATTTTAGAAAACTAATGCGGTCTGAGTTAATTATAAACTTGTTTTAAAAAATGACTGTATTCATTAATTTAATTGATTATTGCCTCTTGTTTCTATAAATTTCCATAAATTAATTTAAGAATTCATTTACATGATAGTAATACTTTAAAATATGAAGGAAGTAGCAAAGAATAACATGAAATGAGGTTAATTTCTTCCTTTATCAAATGAAGAAAATTTTCTCTAACAATTCCAGTTGATAAGTTATAAGTGAGAGTAGATTTGATTTGGTTGATACTAGTTTGATGGATGTACAAACATGAACATAGACATTTAGATCAGAGCTTTAGGCTCATATTGATAAATATGATAAAAGATTTTGTATATAAAGAAAGGCAAGTTTTATATATGTGGAAGTGACAAACATCATAATATTCTTTTTTATATATAAATCAAAATTTAATTTGATACTAGATATATTATAAATAATTTAATAGTGTAAGTCAATCAGATTAGTGATAGAATACTAAATAAATCATAAGACCAGATTTACATGGAATAACTCTTGACTTGCCAAGATTTTTAGAATTTTGAGTTTCTAGTGTTATCTCTCCCCTTTTGTTCTATAACAAGTGCATCACATTTGAAAACAAATCCATGTTCCTTTCTTCAAGTTTCATAATTAAATAGACTTTTTTTATTATTATACTCATAGACAACTTATTATTAGGAGCAGAATTATTAAGAACTACTATCAAAATTATTATTAGGTGCCAAGGAGAATACAAGCCTGTAACTCATCTGTCAATGAAACTTGATTATTCAATCTATTCATAATATCTTTCAAGTCATTATCTGCTCAGTTATATTATTTTTCTGAATAAATTTTTTAATAAGAAAATTTTATTCTGTAAGATTTTTCTCTCATAAAATTTGTTAATTTTATCTAGAAAAAATAGGTATTTATTTCTTGAGATACATGATGGAATACATTATTATCAATTTATTGTCTGATCAAATTAATAATTTTTTTATTCATCTGTTTTCACTCTTTGTCACTTGATTTGCCTTCCTATCATTCCTTGGATCATACAAATCTTTACAAAATAAGATATCCTCCATCTTGGGCTTCCAAATAAAATAATTAATTATTATTATTTGAACATGGTGCTACTTGGATCCTCTATTTGATTCATACAAGAACAATCAAAATAACCTTGCTCTAATACCACTTTGTTGATAAAAGATTAGATATGGAGTTATGAATATGTGAAAGCAACAAATACCAAAATATTTTTTTTCCTCTTTAAGATATAATTTAATATTAAATATATTATAAATAACTTAATAGTACATGCTAATTAAATTAGTGATAGAATACTAAGCAAATCACGAGATAAATTTTACATGGAAAAGCCCTTCAACATGAAAGAAAAAAATCATAGACAAACTACATCAATCTTGTAATATAAAATAATAGAATTATAATGTCACTCTCTCCATACTAACTAGAGTACATCAATATCATCTAAAAACCAGACATTTAAACGAGTTTCAAAAAATCAAGAAGAAAAATTGGGTAGAAAAAAAAAATCAAAGATATATATCGATCAATTTAGAGAGCATACACTGGAAAATCATAAGAATTGAATCTTTGATGAATTTTTTTTTTCATCTCCTTTTAGGTTTTTTTGATCTAACTTATGTAAGATTAAGATTAAAATTTTTTAATTAACCCTCATCAGTCTCACCCAACATGTTTCTTAGCAATCAAGCATAATTTTTCTCTTTGGACATATATAAGATATTTAATAGCTTGTGTGGTTGGTGGAGTTTGAGTCGTGTATTATCTTCTTTCATTAGTAATTATTCAAATAATTATCTATATATCTATATCATGGTATTAAAGCATATCATGAGTTTTGATCTTGCATCTATCTTTCTTTTCCCAATATTTGATAAAAAAAAAATATTTGTATAATATCCATTCTACATTTGTGTTTTGTGTACTTGTACATAAAAGACTAAGACTTTTTCTTTTGCGTTTGGTTTCTTTTGATGGACTTGAAAAGAAATCCAAACCAAATCTCCATGGTCTTCAAGAACAAAGTAAAGAAAAATAGTTGAGTCTTGTATTGGTTTCTTGATCATGAACCACTTGCTATGTGCTTGAGCTCAAGCCTCTTGCTTCAGATCCCTTCATTATCCTCATCCTCTTGCATGAAGAGATGAACATCCTACAGATCACAAGTGGAAAGAGTTCTTAGCCTATGCAGGATACACATATAAAACGGATCAGGAATCCATCCACAAGCTAAAGAGCAACAAAATACTCACTCCCATGGAACATCTCCAACCAACATCCAATCTCCATCTTTATCTTCATATGTGATTGCATAACCAGACTCTTCATGTCCTTCTGCACCACCTATAAGCACAGATCAAAGTCTATTCTTTCTCTGGATCTTCTCATAACAAGTACAGATAGGATGTCTTCCTCCTTACCTAAAGAAAAGCATTTGAACATGTCATTCAAGGCCTCCATGAGCTCCTTATAGCCCGTGTAAACCCTAAGATCCACTTTTCTTAGGTAAGGGGCACCATCCATGCCGACCTTCACGTAGATTCCGGTGTTGTCTTCTGCGTCCATCTTTCTTATCCTGATGCTGTTCATCCTGTAAGATCTTAGAGGTGGCCATCCCACGACCTGTTTCCTGCCATGCCAACCCACAAAGAGATGATCAAACAAACTGAAGAACTTAAACACCTTGGTACCATCTGGCTTAGTTGCTTGCATGGCGAAACTTACTTGGCTACAGGCAAACAGCACTCCTCGTTGGCCCGCTTGTTAGCCCCAGTGGTGCTGGCCGGCGATGGCTTCTCCGGGGCGTCGGTGCCAGGGAGACCAAGTGTCAACTCGGTTGCCTTGAGGTTGTCGAGATCTTCCATGTCTCCCCAAGATAGATCCAGCCACTCCACACGATTTCTGAGTCGTCCTTCTCCGGCGAGGTAAAGCTGAGGAGGAGGAGGAGGAGGAGGCAATTAGGTGGTTTGCGTTATATCGTGATAAGTTGTGAGAGAGAGAGAGAGAGAGAGGTTGTCTCTCTGTCAAGGTGATGGGCAAGTGAGCGGGTCGGGGAGATGGGGAACAGGGTTGAACACAGTGCCGGGAAAGTCCACGACATGGGGACGGAGGTCGGTCGGCCGCCTCTTTGGACGGTCGGGCCGGCTCCACCGAAGACGCGGTCCCGCAGAAGGGGGATGCCGCCCATGTGGGTGGCCAAGGGAAGGTGGGCCACGTGATGCCCGGCGCCAACGCGGGTATCGGGGTGGCAGAGAAAGAGAGCGATCTTTCAATAGGGTGGCAGCCTACAGAGGCCGATGACTTGTTTATTTATTGTTATAATAATAGTTATTACTATTTTTATAATAATAATAATAATTATTATTATTATTATTATTGTTGTTGTTGTTTCTGTGCCCATGGAGAGATGGATCTTGAAGAAGCTCTGTTCCATATGCTTGGTTTATTTTTATTTTTATTTTTATAAGGGAGAACTGATGCTTGGTTGGGTTCATTTTGTAATTGTGAGAACATTTGGCTCCAATCACATGGAAATACTGTAATTTTAAACAAAATGATAAGTATCATGAGGAAGTATAAACAAGTATATACAACTCAATTGCAAGCTATTTATCCTTTGCTAAAAAAATTGAGAATTTAAAAGTAGAGAAAACTAATTGGATGACAAACTATGTTATGTAAAAAATAATAATAATAATAATAAAGGTTTGGATCATCTTTGGAGTTACAAATAAATCAATGAGTTATGAGTCACTAGAGATTGCACAAACATAATATGTTTTGTGATATAGTTGTCATACTTTTGCTTACAATTGCATCTCTAATTGAAAATTTTGCATGAGCCAAGACAAGATCTGACCATAGATTTATACGTTTGTTTACATAAGTACAGTCAAGATCTAATGGCTTGGGACCTACTCAATTATTCTGCATTAGTCAATGAGACACTAGGCCTCCTAATGTTGCCATTGGCACCATTAATTGCCTTTTTCTTGTTCTTGGATCACACAACATCTCAAGGTATTTTATGCAGAACCCAAAGAGGCTACTAGTGTTCAAGTGCTCAATAATTTGTATAATCTTCCTCAAATTGGATTATACTTTCGAAGCAAGAAATCAGTAAACAGATAGAGGCAGTCTCAGTAAACTACTCAATAATACCTGTGGAGCAACTTTAAGTAAACCATAGTCACAAGTTCATTATCTAGGAAAGATTCAATCAGCATGAAGCAAAAAGTTCATGAATCAAAATATTATGTTTTGGAGTTAATTTAAATAGATAGTTTCTTAAAAAAATACAGAAAAGATAGAGATTTAAATATATTTCATAGTCTTGTGCAAAAAAAAAAATTGCATGGAAGGAAAGTTAGATGAAAATAGAAAAAGAATATAAATCTTATGATTGTTGTTGTACATGATAGCTTCTTAAAACATTGTTGGACCATTCACTAATATATTTCAAATTTAAGAATGGACATTTTAATACAGTTTTTGATAAATTCAATTACAGAAAACATCTGAAGAAGAATTCTTCGAGTAAAAACTTGAAAATAATTGAGAAATGTTCAGTTATTTCTAGAACATTATTCCTGTGAATAAAACCACTACGAGGTGAATAAGGTGGCAAAACGAGTCCAACTGTCCTCCCTCATCTTTAATATCTTAAGCACTGATTGCACTAAGAGATTTACAAGCATGAAAACAGAGCAATCTCAAGTGAATATTTTCTTGTAACAGTAACAGCAATAAGGCAAAAGAATTCCACAAGCCAACTCATGCGATCAGGTATGAAACAACAAGTTTATGGCAACAAGACAACTGTTACATGAAGATCTAGCTGATAGGATTAGGAGTATTCATATTCCTTTGGAACCCAATGATGACAAGAGATTGGGTCTCTCTAACCTTTGAAGGGCAAGAACATCATCCATTTAAGGATCATAATTTATGATAAGTAATTGTAAGAAGAAAGAAATAGTTTCCAAGACATCGCAACTAAGAAATACTTGCATCAAAGATATTTCACGCCTTTAGATTTGAATATATGTATTAACAAAAATAGGAAATATCTGTATTGTCAAAACATCAGCACCGGTGATGTATAGCACTCGTCAATAACAATACTATACAATACTGAAATTTTCACATTTTTTTCAAAGCTATATTTGTCTTCCAGAAGACTTCATAATGCAAGGAGGAAGTGGAGCATTGAAGCCTGCTGTAATCTGCTCCTCTTGGCCTAGCATGAGATGAACTGTCTTCTAGTAGGCTTGAAGATACTTGTATTTATTGTAGCATACTTGTCATGCTACACATGACTTGTTATGATGGCTGCTACACCATGCTATGGGTGGATGTACATTGACTCCAACATGTTGCATGTGAAAGTTATTGCTCTCAGGTCCACAACTTCTCTCTTATCCATTGTCCACCACACATTTCAATCTCCCAGTTATTACTTGGAACTACTTCCTACTCGTCTTTAAGTTGCTCAAGATTGTCTTCAATATTTGGGCATGTAGGACCCAATGCTCTATACCAAATTTCCAGTTGTGGAATCTCTTCATTAGTCTCAATCTAATCCATTCAAACATACCTAAAATAGCTGACTTCTAGTCTCCAATATCATACAACCACTAGGTTGTGACTCTTTAGATCACTGGGAGTAGAGAATTTTATTGAAGTACTGCAATAACCTTTAATCCATAAACAAATTCCATTCTCTTCCTAAATTTCCTTAGAATTGTGGCAAAAGCAAATGTCATGGACTGGAAATTGTTTATAGCACACAAGTGCTTGCAAGAAAAAGGCAACATCAATCATTTTTCAATGCCAACTCTAGAAGAATTCATCAAACATGTTAATGCTAGCTCAAGGATTCTTCCTATAGCTTCTCCAAATTGTGGATGGATCAAGTCTACGTGTCCTTTGTTTCTTGGTAATCAACAATAAATGTGATTGGATAGGTATTGTCATTCTCATCCTTAATGATTTTTCGTCTACACATTTTATTGCAACTATAATAATTCCAATTATCAACTGGTTTCATATATGGCATTGTGTTTTGCTATTCAGGAAATTTCTGATGATGTATCATCGCTTATATCTTCTTTTCGTTTGTCTTTCATGAATTGTTCTTGATTGTTCAAAGCAGACCATACCATATAATTTTATTGTCATTTTATATTTTCACCATCGTTGAATATTTTCTTCCTCGACGTTCTTAAATAATATTTGTCGGTTGATTTCATTCTGCTCCTTGAGAAAAAAATTAAAATTCTCTGCTTGAAATTGTCCACTAGAAATAATCTTTTGGACACTTGATTGTCATGATAAAAGTTGGAATCCTGTTCCATATATGACACTGTGATGTGCTTATTAAGTTATACCTGATGGATAATTATCATTTTTCTGCTCTTATTTAATTGTCTATAATAACTAAAAAAATATTCTATGTAAACTTCACAATAGTTTTATAATTTTACCTTCCTCCAATATTTTCTTACTGAAGATTGCTTTTAGTTTGTGTCCACCCGTAATATTACATTTTGCTCACAAACAAATTTCTAAAATTGGTTTCCCTTATTTCAGGAGAGATATCTCAGTGGTTAAGGCACAATATGCATAGTCAAAAGGTCAAGAATTTGAGTCCTGTAGGTATGAAGTAGTGAATTTAAAAAAAATGACTTCATTCTAAAAAAATTTGCACTTCTGTTCCTATTCGCTCTAAAGGAAAAGTGATCAAGCTTTGTTCTAATACCAGATGATATAACCCCATTACTTTGATCAGAGGCAAAAGCCATTACCAGGCAAAACATAAGCAAGATATGAGACTTAGTCTTCTGTCCAGATTTTCCAGCAAGCTTTTTCATGGAGAAAAAAATCCGGAGGCATTTGACATAAAAATGGAATCTTCAAAATGAAATAGATGATTTATAAAGATTACATAACAAGTTTTAGCACCAAAATCTAAGAAGGCAGAAGCCAATAAAAGAAAGAGAGATGAAATCTATGAGCAAGAAATTGGATGAGAAGAGAGAAGCGAGAATTGCACAGGAGAGCCAGAGAGAGAATGACTTCAATTTTTATTCCTTCAACACTAACATTTGCATGTCTATGGACTCATATCTATATATGAAACTCAAACAAAAATAAACTCTGTCCTTTACTTTATATGATTTTTTTAAAATGTTTTCACTGTTATATTTCCTTCACTGAACACCATCCTGTGGTCCACAACTTAGGTTAAGTGATGATGTGGAATCCCACTCTCAAACAATTGGGCTCTTAATTTACTCCAGATCTTCTAATCTCAACCATGGATCATTTGATCTCATTGAAATAACATAAGAAAAAGCTAAAATAACTGCTCCTAAATTGACATTCAATTTATCATTTAGTTGCAGATTGTAGATACACTTCAGATCCCAACTGCTAACTTAATGACCTTCTAGCTATCAAGGAGTGAAGCATGCAACGGAGGAAGGCATACAATGAATTGTGATAGAATCAGATACAAAGGCATTGATTCAAATTCTTGATAGAAGGGAATAGCTTCCATAGTTTGCTATGGACAGTATCGAGTCTCTTCCTAGTCTTTTTGAATCTTTTGTCGAATATAGAATTTCCCATATTTACACAGAGGGAAATAGAAACGCTAACTAGCTTGCATTGTGTGCCAAAATCAATAGGATTCATCTTTGTGGAGGTGTCATTAGGCTCTAGAATTGTCCTCTTTTTTATGCTCCAAGGAGCATGGTGAATTTTGTACTAGAATGTTAAGTTAATCCAATCCTTTTTGCTTTTTGAAAAAAAAAATTATATCATTCAGTTGCTCCGAGATGAAGATCTGATCCTTTCATGTCATGCAGGCGCATCACCATTATTAGTAGTCAGGTCATTTTCAGAGTAGTGTATTACATATCCATCCTATTGATAAGAGTAAACCACAATGTGCATCTCTCAAATCTTTGTTATTTTGGTACTTGTAAATTTTTCATAAGTAAATAAAATCTCACCTTTGGGTAGATTATATATTCCTCTAGTCGAGCTCCCTACATCTATCTATCTTCCACACTTCTCCTTCACCCTCTCAATCCGTTCTTTTTCATAATCTCCACCTCAACTTGTAATCTGCCAAAAACTAAATTCCAAAGTCTCTCCATCGTCCTAAATTGCGGTTGGGAAACAATTAGAAGATCCTCCTGGAACATGCTAAGAATGAAACTATACACCACTTACCATCAATTTTTTTTCAGTCCATAGCAATCAAAAAGTGGAGAACTTATTTCAGTACACTTAATATCACAACGATAGGCCATCAAAGATTCATATGTCACAACCAAAAGCAACAAAGTTGGTACGACAACATATTAATCATGAAGAGAAAAGTCACATCTTTTACAGTGGAACAAAACCCGGACCTAGATACGAGTTGGGGTTTCATATAAGTTTGAAAGGGAGGGGCCAGGGGGTAGACCTGGGGACCTCGACGCGGTCCTTGATGCGCTGGATCATCTTCTTCCGTTTACCCCGCGAATTGCCGAACGACCCCTTGAATCGCTTCCCCCGTTTCGTCTTTTTGTCCCCGCGACCGCACGGCACCACTGAACCAATCGCAGCCGACGCCTCCGAAAACGCAGAAGGCAACATAGAGGAGAATGAGCGCACCGCCGGCTGCTCCGGCAGTAACTGCATCGCCGTCCTCGCCAGCCACCGCATCGCCATTGGAGCCGCCTTCCTGAAGAATCGGGACGGCAGGCGTTTAGAGACGGCGTTCGATAACCCTTCTCATTCGAGTTAGTGAGCGACCACAAAGCTATGTCGGGTTGGTTTCAGTTGGATTCGCGTTTAAACCGGGCATCATCTTAACAGAAGGAGATCCGATTGGACAACGGGTTGTTATACACCGACGAAGATCCGATTGGATAACGGGTCGAGAGTTAGACCAGGTTCCTACATTCAATCTAGTTGAACAGAGTCAATTTAGACTTGGAATGATATATATATATATATATATATATATATATATATATATATATATATGATGAATAAAAATTAATCTAACAGAATGAATGGCATGTTGTAGGTTATACAATAAAGATGTTTGGGAACTATATTTATTATTATAATTATTTTGCAAAATATTTGGATAATTATTATTATTATACGATTGATAGTTGCCAGAATGTTATGAAATATAAATATATTTACGTCCATGATCAATGTTTGTACCTATTATTCAATATTGAGCATACATGGTTCATGCTCATATGCTCTACTAACCTAGGATTTAGTTCAGGCGAATGAAAGAGATCACCTTCTTAGCGGACTAGCTGAAGTGAGAGAAACTGAAACAGATGATGATATATAGCAACATGATAATTAATTCGGCGAACCTATATTTCAACTAGTCTAAGATGATAATTTTTATTGATGAAAAACATTAATTATTTAGTATATATGAGTAGGATCACTTATCTAATGTTTTCTTGAAAGTACTTTTATTTTAATTTTTTTTCATTTGGTGCTTCTACTTCGTATAATAGTCAATACTTATTGTCACTTGACAATCTCCGGCCGTTCCCTCATCTCCCCTAGTCTTCTATTTTTTATTATCCTCATCCACCTCTACTTTATGCACCTATTATCTTATGATAATCATGAAATCATCATTTTACTATAAGGTGACGAGGGTTGTGATAGAGATGGAGGTCACAAGGGTTGTGACAGAGATGGAGGTCATGAGGGCTATAACAAATAACAAGTATGTAGGAGGAGGAGGACACAAGGGTTGTGACTATAGGAGGAGGTCACGAGGGTTATGACAGAGATGGAGGTCATGAGGACTATAATGAATAACAAGTATGTAGGAGAAGGAGGAGGACATAAGGGCTATGATGAATGTGATGTAAAGGTGCTTAGCGAGGGCCACGGGAGAGAAGCTTTCCATGGCGAAGGTGGTGGTGACGATACTCATTGGAGCAAAGTGGTGGGTGGATTTGGACGAGTAGTGCTTAGCATAGTGGATAATATCATGGAGGAGGGAGGGGAAGCCTTATTATAACTATCTCCTTCCTCACAACCCTCGTAGCCCCCTCCCACGGAAATGACAAAGTCAAGGGCGATCAATATTGGGGAGTGGAGTTGGGTGAGACCAGTGGGCAAGGATTATGGGGAATCACATGAAGTTGAGGTGGACCAAAGTGATGGTGGAGCCGAGGGCTACGCGAAGACAACATGAAATGATGATGCATGGGGAGGACATGATGATTGACGTCGTGGAAGGTGATAAAGCCTCATTGTCATAGATGACCATTGCATGCTCGGAACACCTTTGTCAATAGATTGTTCATCACTTTTGTTTGCTTATACATTCATTAGATAATATGTTTTTTCTTATTTTTTTAATAATTTTACTTAAAAAATATATGCAAAAACTACTTGTAGAGTGACTGCTCATCAGAATAGGCAAAATTACCTCAAAATGGTTCAGTTTTTGTGATATGACCTATTTTCTGCATGCTCCGATACAGAGCAAAACATTGGTCATCTTAATATCTTGAAGCCCCGTGGATGGCATAGGGTTAGATAAGAGTTTCGGATAATGTTAAGTGTTGATTAGATTCACAAGTTTACACATAAAGCTTACAAGAACTTGCCAATATGCTTGACACCTGGTGAGCAATTGTTCATGGACTTATGAATATTCATTTACCTTCTAAAGTTCTTATTTTTCCTTTATCTTTTCTCTCTCTTGCACATAAAGTATTTATTGAATTACTTATAAAGTTGTCTTTTTTTACGAGATGTTAGGACTTGTTTATCGCTCGTTCACTTAAGCTAATCAACTTTCTTTTTACAAGTCCTCTAAGCCCTATTTGAGGTTGCCTTTAGGTTGATCCTTTGTAAATGGATAATATAAGAGTGTCTTATAACTTAGGCAATTCTAGCTAAGTATGTGATATTTGGTTTCAAAACGAGCGAGTAATTTGGGTAAATAATAAAAGTTCACAATCTCACCATGGCAAAGCACTATGACAAATCAAACAAGACAGGACAAGTCAGGCCATTATCCCAAGCAATCATAGATGGACTGCAAGTACAAACTCATTCTTAAACTATTAGATACACTCAAGAGAAGCACGAGGAACTGTAAACTATAAGTTTTCTATTCTTCATTAACAGAGGAACTGTAATCTGATGCACCAATTAAAAAAGCACAAGAGTCATAGGGATAGTCTGACTATTGCATAAACCCACCTCAATATTCTCGAAGTGATCTTAGAGGAACTTTATCAAGGCTAGCGAAGGCTCCTTATGGTAGAGAATTCACAAGATGAGACAGAAGATTAGATCGATAAGGTCAAGTCTCGAGTTCATCAATTGACAGAAGACAACCAAGAGGTTGTGCAACACTTATATAATGTTTTAACGGATCTCATGGCAAAGATTATCCTGCTAACGAGGGTTCTTCATGCGGGAGGGAACAAGACCCAAATTGCTCCATCACAAAATTTGAAGACACCCAAGCCGCATTAATATGACGGTGCTAGGGATATGAAGAAGCTTGAGAACTTTCTGTTCAACATTGAGCAATACTTCTGAGCAATGAGACTTGACTAAGAAGAAACTAGAGTTTTGATACCAACCATATATCTGAATAGGATGCAAAAGTTTGTTGGGTGACTTGATTGGAAGAGATCCAATAAGGTCAGTGCAGGGTGGACACATAAAAGGATTTGAAGCAAGAGTTGAGAACTCAGTCTACTTGAGAACACTAAGTTCATGGCATAAAGAAAATTGAGACAACTATGCTAGGGAATTTGTATATAAGACTCTATGAAGCAGTTCTCGACATTGAACATTTAAGATATGTTTAAGAAGGACAAATTGTTTAGTTTTCTCAATAGCCTAAAGTCACGGACGTAATAGGAATTGCATCAATATAAGGCCATTGATTTGGTCGAGTTAATCATAGTTGCTAAAAGGTTTACTGACTTTGTTTCCTTGAAAGACTTGGAGAAGAAGAAATAATCTTCAAGTAATTACATGTCTATGGATTCAAAGGGAAGAAGTCCACAATCAAGCAAAATAAGAAGAATTCTCAAAAGGGGCTAAGTTCAAAATGCAAAGTCCTGAAGCCTGATAGAAGCTTCTTGTGTGGAGGACCATATATATAAGGGAGTGTCTACAAAAACAAACACTCAATATGCTAACAACATCAATCTATCTCCCAAGACCGTATAAGGGAAAGGTCAATGTCATTAGTTTGAATAAGTTCTGAATCTAGAAATTATGATAAAGACTCGCAAGGACCCTAGAGGGGAGTAATGTATTTGTTAAATACATTACAGGGTCAAATGGGGGGAACGTACGAAGACAAAGTAATACAAATTAGGGAGCAGCGAGCTAATGTAAGTGGATATCAAGCTCAATATTCAAACATCTCATGTAATGGTAGACACGGCTATTATCACAACTTTATTATCAATCGTAGAGTAAGGCGACTAGGGCTAAATTTAAAAAAGAACCCAAATCAAATGAAGGTGATGAACTTTAGAAGCAAAGCAAATCTTTGAGTTGGCAAAAAAAGGTCCCTATAAAAATTGGAAAGTGGATTAGAAGCAAAAAACATGATATTGGTGTCATTAGATGACTTCCAAATGATTCTTGGAATAGAGTTCATGCACATAGCCAAGAGAGTGTCATTACCACTCCTAAACTCTTTATATTTGATGAGAGACGATGGCCCCTATGTGATGCCAATTTCTTAAGGAGAAACCAAGGACCTGCAACAACTATTGACATTACAATTAAAGAAAGGTGAATGAAAAGATAAATTAATTTTTGTGGCTATAGTGAAACTAAAGCTACTTGATATAGAGTTTGCTTAAGAACTTATTGTGATGGCAAATATTTTGAAAGAATTCACGGATATTATGCCACCCGAGTTGCCAAAAACTTTGACTTAACATAAAGATATGGATTATCGCATCGAACTAGAGCCAAGAGAGAAACCTCTAGTGAGACCACTTTACTAGATGACTCTCCTTGAGTTGATAGAGCTAAGAAAGAAGTTGGATGAACTATTAAGTGATGATCCCATCAATAGTTTTAAAGCACCATTCAAAGCTCTAGTTCTCTTTTAGAATAAACAAGATGAGAGCTTTTGATCATGTATCGATTATCAGGCCTTAAACAAAATAAAAATAAAGAATAAATATCTTATCCCGCTCATCGTTGGATTTGTTCACTAAATTGGGTAAGGCAAAGTACTTTTTCAAACTTGACCTTCGATCAAGGTACTAGCAAGTGCAAATCACTAAAGGTGATGAAACAAATATAACTTGTGTAACTAGGTGTAAAGCATTTGAATTCTAAGTGATGCCTTTCAGCTTAACTAATACTCCAGTCATGTTTTGCACTCTCATAAATTAACTATTTGGATAAGTTCATGGTCATTTACTTAGATGACATTATCATCTACATCCTAACACTAAAAAAGCATATCAAGCACCTTTGAACAATCATCAAGATTCTCAAGGAGAACACTTTGTTCGTAAAAAAAGAGAAGTACTACTTTGCTCAAATGAAGATTTTATTCTTGGACACCGAGTTGACAGAGGATTAATTCAAATAGATAAATCAAAAGTGTAGGTTATAGTGGAGAGGTGAACACCAAAGAAGGTACTAGAGTTGAGATCATTTATTGGTTTCATTAACTATTATCAACATCTCATATCGGGGTACTCAAAATATGTAGCTCAATTAACAAAGTTGCTGAAGGAGCAACCTTAGTGGTAGTTCAAAAAATATGAATTGACATTCTAAAACCTAAAGGTCATTGTGTTAGAGGTATATTGCTCAAATTGATAAATTATGAGAAACCATTCAAAGTCCATACAACTTCTGACTTTGTTATTGGAGGAATACTTGTGCAAGAAGACTACCTAATAGCCTACAAAAGCTATAAGCTCAATGGGATAGAGCGACAATATTCGAGTAAACGAGAAAAAGATAACAACAATTATCCACTATTTATGAGTGTGGTGACACTGTTTTATTAGAATGTGATTTGTGCTAACAACTAACAACACAAAGTTTCTTCCAAACTCAAAAGAAACTCTTTCCAAAGTAAGCCCGATGGTAAAATTTTCTTGCTAAATTTGATACGATAATTGAATACGAGCATAGAAAGAGCAAATGTGGTGATTGATACATTGAGCAAAAAAGTTAACTTGATGAATGTGATATCATTGGAAGATGGAAGCCAAGCAAGTCAATTACATTTCAACTTTCTCTCGTGAATCAAAAATAGATTGTACAATAATCCTAGAGCAATAACCTTATTTAATTAATCAAAAAAGGTAAGACACAATAATTTTGGGTTCAAGAAAGATTTATCTATACCAAAGAAAATAAAGTTTATATTCTTGGAGTAGACACTTTGAGACATGAGCTCTTAAGGGAGTATTATAATTCTCTTTAGGCAAGAGATCATGAAACTTTGGTTCTCGTGGAGAAGGCCTAGAATTGCTAAAAATGAGGATTGATGTAGAAAAATATGTTCGAATGTACTTTACTTACCAATAAGATAATATGAAGTAGTGGAAGCAGATGGATCTTTTGGAGCCATTGCTCGTACTAAAAAGATCGTAAGAGAGCATTTCCTTATACTTCATATCAAGTTTGTCGATGAAAGGAAAACTTGGATCGATACTCATGGTAGTTAATCAATTCTCAACGTATACAATAGACATTGTTGCACCCCTACACTACTCAATAATGAGACAAACAAGTTGATGATAAAGAATATAATGAAGTTTTGGGAAGTTCCACACAATATCAATAACGATTGGGATGCATGGTTCTTGTGGCGATTTTGGACTGAGTTGTTTATATTATTAAGATCCAACTTATACTTCTTTATAAGTTTCCAACCCCAGATAGATAGCCAAAATAAAAATGGATAAATTCACTTCTTAAGCAATATCTTTAGCACCACGTGAGTGTCAACCAACGAGATTGGATGAAACTGTTAGACATAGCCCAATCCTCCTGCAACTTATAGCAAAACTTTGTATCCAACAAGGGCCCCTTTTAGATTATTACATGACAACAATCGTTAGCTTCTCATACTTCAATGATCGATTATACTGCAAGTAGCTCGTCAATATATCACTTTACAAAGCAATGATAAGATATTGTCTGGGCATACTTGAAAAAGATGACTAAAAAGATGAAGAAAGTAGACAGATCTGGAAAGAAACCACAGAAGTTCAAAGTTGATAACTTGGTGTTGGTGAAATTCTAACTAGCACCACTCCAATTCTTTAGGCATAAGAGATTGATGCACAAGTACGAGGGGTCCTTCCAAATTATTAACATGATAGATAATATCTCTTATAAGTTACAATTACTGATATGGCTCAAAATTTATAATATATTATATACAAGTAAATTAAAAGCCTATCACTTAGATTTATGAGATGCTTCAAAAAATTATTTCAACTCAACTATCACCCGCCAAAGCTTCTTATTAAAAGTGAGTTGAAGTTATTTTAGCAAATTATAAGTTGAAGTTACCTAATAGAGCAAAGCAAATCGAGTACTCAAGTAGTAAAAACTTCTCATAATAGAAGCTTGTTGAGAGGTCGAAAATGCCTTGCAACATGAAGTAGTCATCAAAGTCTACTAGTAAACATCGAGAGGGCATCAATAATTTAGGTGGGGGAGAATGTCACAAACAGTCATCGCGTGCCTATAATACCTTTGTCAACAGATCGTTCGTCACCTTTGTTTACTTATATATTTGTTTGGCAGTATGTTTCACTTTATGTTTTGATTACAAACTGTAAGTATGAATAATTTACAGAGCTGTAGAGTGATCGCTCACCAAAATAGGTAAAACTATCCCAAAAGGACTTAGTTTTTAATATCATGATCTATTTGTTATAGGCTATGTTACGAAATAAAACAACAACCATGCCAATAGCTTGGAACCCTCTAGATGACACAGGGCTAGATGAGGGTTTAAGGTAGTATTGGACATTGATTGGATTCACAAGTTTGCATATAAAGTCTACAGGAACTTTTTAATATGCTCGATGCCTGGTGAACAATCGTTTGTAGACTTACTATTGTTATTATGAAATCCTTATTTTTTCTTTTTTTTTTTCGCTCTCACGTACCAAGTATTTGTTGAATTACTTGTAAAGCTATCCTCTTTCATTAGATGCCTGAGTCTTGTCTATCGTTTATTCAATTAAATTAATCAACTTTTTTTTTATATATCCTTTGAACTTATACAAGATTGTTTAGATAATTTTAGCTAAGTCTATAAAATCATGATGGGAGGAAGGCACATTATGACTATTACCTAAAATAGGAGAAAAAAAAAATAGCTAAGTAGCACATTATGACTATTACCTAAAATAGGAGGAAGGCACCTTTCTAAGGAAACTCAGAAAAGGTTTCTTCCAACAAAATGATACATATATATATGTATATATAATTAATTAATTAATTTTAAAAATATTATTTTAGAAAGAACTCTACGGAGTGCTACTTAGTTGCGTTCAAATGTGGCCCCATTCCCAGACCCAGAGATCTGATCATTAATCCATCCTGTTTATCACAAATCTATACGATCAAACGCCCACAGAAGCCCCAATTCCTCGATCGTCTCCTCTCGCTTCTCGGCTTCCTGGTACGCAACAAGAAACGGAAAAAGAGCCAAATCGGAAGGGGAACAAACCGAGGGGAGGGCGGTGGCGATGGCGACTGATGTGCCGGAGGGGTCGGTGCGGAACATCTTAGAGCAGGAGACGCTGAAGTGGGTGTTCGTGGGTGGGAAGGGCGGCGTGGGGAAGACGACCTGCAGCTCCATCCTCTCCATCCTCCTCGCGCAGGTCCGCCAGTCCGTCCTCGTCATCTCCACCGACCCCGCTCACAACCTCAGCGACGCCTTCCAGCAGCGCTTCACCAAGATCCCCACCCTCGTCAATGGCTTCTCCAACCTGTATGCCATGGTATTACTAACACTCATTCTCTCTCACGTATCCCATCGAATCTACTATCCGATCTGAGCCATCTTTTATCAATCCTATTGTCGATTGGTCCTCTTTTTTCTGCTTTGTGATCGTGGAATTTTAACCAATTCTTCCGTCGACTGCAGGAGGTCGATCCGAAGGTGGAGGGCGACGATTTGTCTGACGAGGGACTCGATGGGTTCCTTTCGGAGCTAACGAATGCGATCCCTGGAGTCGATGAGGCCATGAGCTTCGCTGAAATGCTAAAGTAAGTTTTCTCTCGTTCCATTTGCATTCTCTTTGGAGAGCGCATATAGAAAAAATTACTGTTGATGTGTAATAACATAACTGTTGGGCTGGGCCTCCCTTTATGCTGATGATTTAGCTGATGTTTGTATTACTTGGATTATTATATCAGGTTTAAACCCTTCATCAAATATGCACTAAGTTTTTATTCTTCGCGAGAAATATTACTAAAATGGAGGTTTTTGGTATCCTAGAGCAATCCTTAACTAGGCATTTGTATGGGAGAGATGAAAACAGATCGTTGCTGCGGTATGATATTATCGACATGGTTCGTTAACTAACAAATCTGGATCTTCCCACAGTATTAACTGTCTGCAATTTGATAAGTTTTAGGAGTTCTCTCAAAATTATAAAAAAAGCTTAAACTTGGATAAAACCAAGTTCTCAGTTATTTAAATACAGTGCATTTGCTCTTGATTGTTTAGCTCCTGGATGTTGGTTTAACACTTTGAGATGTCAATTGTTGTCTTAAAGAGTACTGTGAACAACCAAATATGATGCCAATAAACTATACATACATACATACATATGTATAACATATATATATATATATATATATATATATATATATATATATATATATATATATATATATATATATAACTTTAGCATGAAACAAAAATTAATTTTTTTACATCAAATATGTTTTTTTTCCTATAGTAATAAATATTTAAAATATTGCTTCAGTATAGGGTTATGAGGAAATGTGGGATTATGTTCATTTTTGATATAGTGTTTGAATAACACCAAGGTGGAAGAGCATATTTAAAGTATTGATCATTTCTAACTTTTTTCTGTTCTCATCTTAGAACCAAGAAAAATACATATAGATCCTTTAACGTATTTCAATATTTATCTCGTCAATTGAAAATGGCCAACAGTTGGAAAGTTCACAAACTGACAAAGTCTTAACAATTCATATTTGTCATAATCCATTAACTTGTGTTACCAAGTCTAAATTGTCAGAAAATCCTAGCAAAAATCTTCTTCTTTCTTGGATGAAGAATGAGCTGACTGACCAAGATTGTCCGACGAGAAGAAAAGTTACTGTGCTAAAACAGAAGATGATTGGGGAGATATGCTTGATTGAAGATGCTTTAAAAGAAAGAAATAAATGTAAATTAAATATCTTGATAATAAGAAAGATCATCTTTTGAAACAAAAAAATGAAAGTGAAGATTCTCTAGAGTTGGTAAATGAGATGATTGATTCCTTGTTATAAGAAATAAGAATGTTTTTATTTGTATTTTGTTTTTCATGTACTTGGACGGCTGATATCTTCATTAACTGCTTTATTTTTGTTAGATCTTTTATTGTCTGTGTTCCTTGTCAGATCTTTTTTTTTTTTATCGATCCTATGATGTTATACTGATTTGTGCAGCTATTACTTCAATAAATGTTTGAACTTTGACTGATGATAATTATCAGTTACTGATGTCGTCTTGCCTGTTTAGCAACCTGTTCAATGCTTTTGGATATTGTGTATGCGGCAGCATATTTATGATTCTGAATCCAGAGGCTTGTCATGTTAATTTAATGTTTATTTAATAATCTCCTTGAGATGCTTGAAACTTCTGTATGACAGTATGTTTATGATTTCTGGATTCTGATGCTTGTCATTAAACAAAGTATTTATTTTCTTATCTGGAACTGCTAGTTATCTTAATCCATTTCTACTTTTGAAGACAAAAAATCCCCTAAAAGCCATCCTTTATTTTTTACTGCAGATTAGTCCAAACAAGTTACCCAGTTATAGTGTTCGATATTTCTGTATCATAGTATATTTTTGATTTCTGAATTCTGATGCTTGTCGTTAAACAAAATATTTAATTTTATATCTGAAACTGCTAGTTATCTTAATTCATTTCTTATTTTGAAGACAAAAAACCGCTAAAACCCATCTTTTATTTTTTACTGCAGATTAGTCCAAACAATGGATTACTCAGTTATAGTGTTTGATACTGCTCCAACTGGTCATACTCTACGATTGTTGCAATTCCCATCAACTTTAGAGAAGGGGCTGGAGAAAGTTATGGCCTTGAAAAACAAATTTGGTGGCATTATGAACCAGGTACTTGCACTATTCTTAGGCATTTCATCTGACTTTATAGTTCTGTAAGTTGTAATGTTGTATAGGGGACTGATTTATGGAACAAAGTTATATCCAGTAATGATGTCCCAAGAAGGCTGCTGAATAGGGCCGATGCAACAAGCAGTCAAAGTTGATTCATTGTCCTCTTGAAGTGGTCTCATATATATATATATGTGTGTGTGTGTGTGTGTGTGTGTGTGTGTATTTCTTAACTTAGATTGTCTTTAGCTGCTAATTCAATAATTCAATAGCTCGAGCAACATTTTTCTTTTACAATATCTGGTGAAGATCTTGGCTTCACCGTTGGATTGTCTCTCATCTACAACTATGTTTTGATTGTTGAAACAGCATGACCTGTCGACCAACAAAAGTTATGGTCCACCATCCTCATTCTTTATGGAAGTTGTTTTGAGCCTAATGTCGCCATAGAGGATTTGAAGGTGATTGGTTGTACTAGTACTCTTTGGTGTACTCTATTGGATATAAGCTACCTCTGTAGATTCAAAATCTTGACCAATTCTTTTGGGCTTACGATGAGCAATAAAGATTTTCTGAGACCTTATATGGTCAAGAATGCTGATAGTATAGTGGGATACTCTGTGGTGGTGTTTGGATCATCGACAATCCCTTGGCTGTATATGTAGTCACTATAGTAGTGACAATGCCTACTTGATTTTCGATATTGACCATTCACTTCAGATGGGTTATCTAGCCAACAAGTGGTCTACATAGATTTTTGATTCCCACAGCAAGGTTGTCCATCGCGAGAAGTTAGCCATGTAGACATATTAGATATGCTGATAGATAATCCAGCATGTGATAACTATCATGGTTATAGTCAATTTTCAAGTTATCATAGTAGCTTGCAGCAATAGATGGTGGCATATAGTTGATATCCATTAGTGGTCATGGAAGATGATTGATATAGTCTAGAATGTCGTAGGAATTGGCATAGGGCGTGGAGTAACTTGCTTTACTTCCAAATTATTAAAATGTGTTGCCCTGCATTATTACCAAATCGTAGCTTGCTTTCATTATTTTTGACATGTTGATAGTCTGCTAATGCTTGTCTTGATTGCCAGCTGATGGCCAGCTGCATCTTTCCATAATTGCTGATCTGTTGGTCACATCATGACTGGAAAGGTGTGTGAATATTAAGCAGAAAGTAACTAATAGGACTAAAAAAAAAGGAGGTCATGCTTATGAATGGTAAGCACCATCCACATATAATGTGTTTTTTAGAGGTTTACCGAGAGACAGCTGCCTACATGCTAGCCCAAGCATCAGTGTAGTGCCATTACCTGCCGTGGTTGGTATGTGTATTCCTAGATTTAAACTCAGTTTCTTGAACTAAAAGATAGCCTCAAGTAGGCAACTAAGAAGCCTGAGCACAAATTTAATTGTCAAAACTCAGAAGGTTCTAAAGTACTACAATAGTTGCACTAATAGTTTTTCCTCCACGCATTTGATGAGAGAAACAAAGATGAGGATCAGTTGACAATCAAAAGTGACATCATATTAACCATGTGCTGCATTAAATTTGATTTACAACAAATCTGTTAGGTACTTGAGTTTTGGTTTTGTCTTTTGGCAAAACGTTTGAGATAAAGAACTTCCCTTCACTTGTGAATATTGGCATCCTCTTTATTGGAGCTAATCTACAGACTTACTGATAGAACTGGAGTTTCCGTTTTGTAAACAAAGATAAACCTAATAAATGTAAATTAGATGTTCATTGGTTTTCTGGTCTCATTCAAATTGAAAAGGTAAAATACGATTGAAAACAGAGGTCAGTTTTTACATCATAGGTGCTTGCTGAAATCTGATGTAGCAGTGTCTTACATTTGGTCACCGGTATTGCGTTGATCCTTGTTGTCCATAGTATGGTCTTTGCTTCTAGTGGTTATATAGGTCAATAGCTATAATATATATCAAGGTTTTTAATTTCGTATCGTACCAGTATACCGAGCTTTGTTCGGTACGGTATGGTACCAGTGTACCGAGCGGTACTAAATATATAAAGATATAAAAAGATATAAAGAAGATACAGGGCGTACTGAGCGGTAGCCTCGTCATTGTCGCCTCGTCTGCGGCCTTCAATGTCAAGGAGGTGGGGAGAAGAAAGACGACATCGGAAAGTTCCCCGTGCGGTGGTAGTGTACGAAGGAGATCGTTTGGAGATGAAGAAGGCCGAGGTCTTCGTTGCCTTCCTTGCGGCCGCCTCTTCCATTGCTCTCGTCGCTGCCTCCCTTGATCCCTGCACCTTCAGCTCCTCTCCAAAGAGGCATGACTCTCCTCGCCGTTACCGCCTGGATCGGGATCGTTGAGGGAGGGCGACGCCGGATCGGGATTGAGAAAGGGCATGGAAGATAAGTTTGCGTCGAGGTTCGACGGGCTTAAGTTCATCGAGACGCTGGTGACAACGCATCGGTGACTTTGTGGTCCTCTTTCTTGACTCTTCTCCCTCTTCCTCGATGCTTCTCCCTCTTCTTCGAACGTCTTCTTCCTCGCCTCGCCTTGGCACAGCCAGGCTAATACCACTCGGTAGTGAGCGGTCCATGTGTCGGTCATCTGGCGGATCGATACGTACCGCCCATACCAGGCAGTATGGAACGATATTAAAAACCCTGATATATATACGAAATAAGGGCTGCACTTACCCTAATATTTCTTCTCTTTGTGATATTTATTTGAAAATTTTACATATTTATCTTAGCTTTTTCAGCAAGAGAAATTGGAGAAAATATATACCAACTTTCTGTCCATTAAGTTTGAGTTGTCAAAAGACTAGCAAGGCCTAAAATCTGCGTTAGTACAAATTTTTAAAGTGGAATTTCACATAAGAATTACACATTTGTTGGTGAACGAACTCCCAAGTTTCACATAAGAATTATCACAACAAACATTTTTTATATATGATCTTGAAACATGTGCTTATTATTCTTTCATCAAGTACTCTTTCTTATAACTGAATGCTGGGTCCACATTACACAGTCTCTATTGAAGTACTAGTTTTTTTTCACCAACTCACGTTGATATTAAATTCTGCTGACAGGCTACTCGTCTTTTCGGTCTTGGTGATGAGTTCAGTACTGATGCTATGCTAGGAAAGCTGGAAGGTATGAAGGATGTGATTGAGCAAGTAAACAGACAATTTAAGGATCCAGTAAGATCACAATCCTTTTAGATGTTTCAGATGTGCTTATCGGTTGGGTAGCATCAGAAAGTTTTTCTGTTAAATGCTACTTACATGTGAATATTTGATAAACTCTTTTAGGAATTGACTTGCTACTAGCTATTCATATTTTGAATATTTTGGAAATTTATTTAACATATGATTTTTCTCAGAGGTGCTTCCTGTTTACTTCTGGTTTTGGGGGGTATGTTCATTCAAAATCATAAGAATTGAGCTTATGGATTTGTGACCTGATCATGGTAGATCCTTAAGAGTGTTGGCCATGAAAGTAGTAATTGCTCCTGTAATTGTAATAGTTGTTTGGAATTACCTGAGGAAAATAATTATACATACATATATAGTTTGTTTTCCTTTCAAAATTTGTTTCTTTCATTTATTCTTATAATTTTGTTCCTTCTATATGGAGGTGTTGTACAGTAGGTGTTCCTAATCTGATGTCATGCTGTTGATTATATGATTATGATGCCAGGACTTGACAAAATGATCCAAGCTAATGATACAGATAACTGTAAGGATTTAGTTTCTCACATGTTGCTTCTTACCCTCTGCCTGTGTTCTAGAAATCAGCCTAATTACCTTTAGTTGAAGAAAAGCATCCTACCTCTTCTATTGCAGTGTGCTAATTGATGTCCATTTATGCTGTCACAACTGATTTAACTACTGAACCTCATCAGTGATGCATGTAGAGTCACATCACTCGAGGACAGGAACCAAATTCTTGAGGTGATGGGCTTTGATCATTGTATTTTGGTATATAAGTGTATGATACAGTTTCATGTTATAAATGTGATGTTACATGATTTGCTAGATAGGCAACAAGAGGAGAGGTAGATCATGCTAGGAATAGAGAGTCAAGAAGCTGGTAGAAATTTTACTCTAGGGAGAAGAAGATACATACATAACCCAACAAAACACAAGTCTTACTGTTATTATTTTTTTGTCATGATCATGGTACAATCACTCCATCTAGAATATAATTAAAATTTAGATGTAAAATCTTAAAAATAAAACAAATGATTATTTTACATAACCAACTTCATAATTAAACCCTTTGAATTGGATTGCATCAGTTCATTTACATTGCGTAGAGCTTGTTTTTGAGGTGATCTGTGTACAGTCACATTGGTCTTGATCTTTGTATTTGTTTTGGCTTCATGTTCAACATAGATTTCATTACAAAAGAATATCCTAATTTAGCCTCTAAAACCGTACCAATGTTCCATGTCCCAATATAGAGAATACTTAACATTTAGAAGAGTAAAGATAGTAGGATGAAAAGGTGGAAGACCTACAGTCGCCTTCAAGGGATAAAAAGAACCAAAAAGGTAGAAAAAGACAGGTAGAATTTTTTTTTCTAGGCTTTATAATTTTGTTCTGATCTCACTAGATGCATGCAAATAAACCTCTCTCTCTCAGATATATGAATCTAATGCTTATAATGGTCAGCTTTCATTATAGTATGTAAGGCTACAGTGTAATGTTATAAAAATAGATGATGTACTAGATAGCTAGTGAAAGAAGGTGGTGGAAAGGGGACTACAGTAAGAGGTGGTTAGAATTTAGAGGTGAATACAAAGGGAGAAGAATATAACTAGATATTTTGTGAATATAACAACATTTGCAAGGTTTTAAACATTGGAATCGAGCATCCTTGAATTGCTATGAAGTGGGTCATATAACTTATGAGAAAAAACTCGTAGGGTTAGACAAACATAAATAGGGGGATTTTATTGATAAAAAATCAATTAAAACCTTTAGAAGATGAGAAAAATATATACAATTCAAAGAATAGAAAAATCTGAAAATAAATTAAATTAGAAAATTTTAAATTGGATAAGGAAAATACCATTCTATTCAATAACAACAACAAAGCCGTAAGTCCCTACTATTTGGGGTTGACTATATAAATCTTTTATCACCGTTGAGATATGGAAAAAGTCATATATTTAGTTAAGTTTAATATTTAAATAGTTAAATATTTATTTATAGTTTCTATTAAAGTCTTTTTAGGTTTTCCTCTATCTCTTTTCGTCAAGGATATTAATTTCGAATGAGGTACGGGCGGTACATATCGGTTCGCCAACAGATCGGTACGCGAACCGCTCGCTATCGGGTGATATCGTCGATTGGGGCTATTTCCGCCTCGTTATCGCCCGAAGTCGGTCGGTAACGGTCGATTTTGACCGTCGCCGCCTGCTACCCGACAGTATGAGCTAAGGGAGAAGGAAGAAGAGGGAGAAGAAAAGGGAGAAACCTGGAGATTCGACGCTACTCTCCCTTAACGATCTCGATCCGTTGTCGCCCTCTACAGATGAGATGTTGCCTACTCCTCATCGTCGGCGACGAGGCCTCAGCGTCGTCGGTGACTTCTCCTTATCCGCGCGGGAAGAAGAAGCCTCGGTGGGGAGAAGAAACCGTTCCCCACGCGGGGAGAAGAAATGAGGCGACGTCGTCTCCTTTTTTTATTTTTTAACACACACACACACACATATATATATATATCGAAACTCTGGTATGATACGAAATTTCAATCCTTACTTTTCGTACCATTAACATTAATCATTTTACCTCTTTTGACTACCATATCCGAAGGTCTCTTATCCGAAGGTCTCCTCTATTGAAGCAATACCTAGTTGTTCAAGAGTAAAGGTATTTTTTTCCTACCTTTCCTAGTAACTCTACACATTCATCTCGACATTCTCATCTCGACTCTATAAAGCATTGTTGGTCTCACAATTGTCTTATAAAATTTTTCTTTTGATCTCAAAGGTATCTGATGATTATATAAGACTTCTAATGCCCCTCATTATTTTAACCATCCTGTTTTATTATATAAATAATATCTTCATCGATCTCTCCATCTTGTTAAATAATTAATTCAAGATACCTAAAGCTTTTACTTAAAGAGACTTATTATCTATTTCTAGAATCATTAAAATTGTATTTGATATATCCAGTTCTAGTCTTACTTAATATAAAACCTTTAGTTTCTAAGACTTGCCTTTATAGCTCAAGTTTATAATTAATTTCTCCATAGCTCTCATCAACTAAGATAATATCATCAGCAAATAACATACACCAGGGAGGTTTATCATATAAGTAACTAATAAATTCATCCATTATCAATGTGAAAAGGTAGGGACTTAATGTAGATCCTTGATATAATCCTATGCTAATAAGAAACTCACTAGACACACTTCCTATAGTTCTAACACTAGTAGCTACATTATTATGCATATCTTTACATCAATATAATTAGTGGATACAATTTTATTTTCTAAGACCCACTGTAATAAATCTCTCGGAACCCTTTCATAGGCTTTTTCAAAGTCAATAAAAACCATATGTAATTTTTTTTTTCTCCTTATACTTTTTCATTAATCGTCTTAATAAATAAATAACTTTTATGGTAGATCTTCCAAGCATAACATCAAAATAATTTTCAGAGATATTTGTTTCAAGCCTTATCCTACTTTCGATGACTCTTTCTTAAAGTTTCATACTATGACTCATGATTTTAATTCCTCTATAAATTGAACAATTTTGTATGTGATCCTTATTTTTATAAATTGTCACTAAAAGACTCTTTCTGCATTCATTAGTCATCCTTTTAAATCTCTTTTCTTAATCTCATTATCATTAATAAGTATTCTTTGATCTTCGTCTTTAATTCATTAAATATTACCTAAATCTTTATACTGTCGTTTCCTACCTTTTGGCAATTCGATATATATCTTTTTGACTATCTATAGTATCTAATTTAGTTTAAAAATTATCATAAGCTTTATATATTATCATGCTAACCACTTTTTTAGCTCTTTTTTAGATTCTTTATATCTTTTAAAATTTTTCTCATTTTTATAATTTTGCTAATATTTAAAACATGAAATTTTAGTAAAAATTACTTTTTAAATTTCATCGTACCACCAGTAACTCTCGTTTACGGTTACACTTCTACCTTTAGTTTCACCAAGAATTTCTTTTATTAAGCTCATAATCTCATTAGCCATCGTAACCCAAATAATATTAATATTATCCTTATCTAAGTTTTAAGTCGCCTCCCTTTCCATTATATTCTTTAGAGTGTTTGCAGTATCATCTTTAAAATTTCATTGTCTGGTCCTAGTAAAATTTTCTACTATCTTTTTTTTCCTTTCATTTTCTACAGTAAATATCTAAACCATCAATCTATATTGAATTGTCAAACTTTCGTTTGATATAACTTTACAATTCTTACAAATAACTTTATCTACATTTTTAGTGAGAAAAAAATTTATTTGACCACAGTTATAATCACTATTATAAGTAATCAAATATTCATCTCTCTTTTTAAAGTGAGTATTTACAATTGTAAGATCGTACAAAGTTGCAAAATCCCAAATCATACCATTACCTTTATTTTTCTCCCCGTAACCAAAGCTTCCATCCACCCCTTTATATTCATTATATGTTTTCCCTACATGACCATTCAAATGTCCTCTAATTATAAGTTTTTGGGTTATAGGCATTCCTTGAATGATACCATCTAAGCTTTTCCAAAATTCTTTTTTGGTTTGATCCATTAATCTGACTTGAGGGGCATAATACTAATGACATTCAAAACATCTTGTCCTTTTATAAATTTAAAACTATGGTTCTATCTTCAAATCTTTGTACATCTATAACATTATTCATAAGATTCTTATCAACAACAATTCTTATACCATTTCTGTGTTTATCTTTTCCATTATATCATATTTTAAATCCAGTACTATCAATCTCTTTAAATTTTTCCCTACTCAGTCTCTTGTAAGCAAAAAATTGTTATTCTTCTTCTAATTGTAATGTCTATCAATTTTAATCCCTTCATTGAAAGTGTTCCTATATTCCAAGTTGCTAACCTAACTTTCTGTTCTTGAACTAACTTTTTTACTCTCATTGGTCCAAAACAATGAGAGAACTCTTGCTTGCTTAGCACCACATCCGGGTGCCGATGTGATTGGCCGTTTTTGGTTGATCTCCTAGCCTACTATTTTATAATTTGGACACCTAGGTTAGTGTAGGTGCCTCGCGTCACTTTTAGGTGACGACCTAGCTCTATATTGTAGTCGGTTAAGATCCATGCTCATGAGATCTGACATAGTTTTATGCTGGTTGTTAGTGATCTAATGCAACCCTCCATCTTTTTTGTCCGGGCTTGGGATCGATATTGACGGCAGGGTTTGCCGTACCGAGCCGTACCGCCCGGTACGGGCGGTACGTACCGGTCCGACAGATTTTCGGTACGCGGACCGACTGTTACCGGTCCGAGCACTGTAGCAGTTACTGTAGTACTGTAGCAATGCTACAGTACTCGATACACCCAGGTGTACCGCTCGGTATACCGTACCGTACCGGTACCGAGCCCTAGGTCGAAATACCGGTACGGTACGGTATTGCGAACCTTGATTGACGGTGTTATGTGATCATCAGAAAACAATGCTTAAAAAAAGATTTGGAATCTGTACTGTTTTCTTTTCCTCTGATGCCTTTTGCTGACACAGCCAAGTATAAATTAATTTTGCAATGGTTATACACAAGGAAACATCAGAAACAGATAAAAACATATCATTAGAATTCAAGTGTCAGAGACTTACGATAAGGGACTATGACGCAAATCCACCCAATCATCAGACACTTGTCCATTGATGGCAAGGTCAAATAAAAAACCCTAGATGTCAGAGAGATAAGCATCATATCTTTTTTTGTTTCATACACCACTTCTAGATATGTTTTCTTCTCCATCTTCGTTATTCCTGGTCATCTCATCTATCTCTTTTTTATTTTCTTTTCTTTCAGATGTGGCACAGGAAATGGGGTCTTATTGTTTTGCCATTTTATTTTAGTATTGCCAATCTGGATCGGGATTGGCTAATTTTTATAACCTTGATCATTTATCATGCATAAGTTGGCATGGGCTTTTATGTTATCCCAATCAAAACTTTACAGTGTGTTTATTATCATACCGGAGTCTATAGTCCTTTTTATTGGTGTGCCTTATGGTTCTTACAAATACCTTATGGTTCATGTATATATATCGGGCTTGCCTTGGCTTCTTACAAATGCCTCCTGGTTTTATCATGAGATTGACCTTTTTTGTTGTTGTGCTACAGATGCAACGTCTGAGCACAAATGTTCACTGAGATAACTGATTTCTTGACCTTGTAAACTTTCTATGACAGGATTTGACAACGTTTGTCTGCATTTGCATTCCAGAGTTTCTTTCTCTCTATGAAACAGAGAGGTTGGTGCAAGAACTAACAAAATTTGAGATAGATGCTCATAATATCATTATTAATCAAGTACTTTTTGATGATGAAGGTGCGTAAAATATAACAGCAAGATATATTTGGAAGTGTCATAATGTCCACTTTGGATTTTCTAAAATTTATCCTACTTCAAATCACTCATTTTCATTCTTGTAGCTGTTGAATCCAAATTACTCAAAGCACGGATAAAGATGCAACAAAAATACATTGACCAGTTCTACATGCTTTATGACGATTTCCATATCACCAAATTGCCATTACTGCCAGAGGAGGTAAAAATTTGTGCTAATTGAAAAGACAGCTTTTTAGAATTTACATGGGAATGTGTGTGTATATATTCCAGTCACTGTGATGTGTGTTTTGTAGGTTTGTGGAGTTCAAGCTCTTAGAAAGTTCTCTCAACACTATGTTTCACCATATAAGCCGGATCTCACCAGGGGCACTCTGGAGGAAGTGCAGCAGAGAATATCTATTTTGAAATTACAGCTTGAAGAAGCAAAGTTAGAGCTAGAGACACTGCAAAAGGGCAAACAAGATGCCTGATGGTGCTTCAAAGCGAGTGAGGCTTCAGATGTTGGAATTCTTTTTCCAAGATCAATAAAAAGGTCGAGAAATCTTTCTCAAATCCACTGCAAGCTAATTCCTCCTTGTTAGACTCAGGTAATTCCATCAGAGCCAGCCGAGAATTTTCTCCTCCTCATTTTTCCTTTAGTGGATTTCTCTAATTTCATCGCAGGTGCTTGTTGCCTCGATGGCCTTCAATTTTTTATGAGAACCTTAATTACAATTATCTGCAAATGGTTTGATGTGACCATTGTGATATTTTGGTAAGTTCGTTTTCTGTTTGAACATGGGGGTCTTCCCAGTTGTCAATTGTTTTGGCATCATATCTATTACATTATAGTTTTCTTCTTTCATGACATTATTTGTGCTAGTTCTAGTTTATAATAGGATAAATAGCATGCTGGCTGTGTCAATAACTCAACATTACCATTATTGTTCATATCGTAATGCAAGGGTACATCACCAGTGAACATTCATCCCTGCAAATTACTTCCACGAAGTTTAGGGTTTAGGATTTAGCCTCATTTTCTTCTAATAAGCATGGCTTCTTCTCACTGCCTGAATACGATACATGTATTGCTGTGATCATTAGATCACTCTCTTTGTTACCTGCACAAATAAAGTATTCTTCTTAACAAAACAATGAAAGATCATTTGCATAGCTCATGTGTGTTATCTACAACTCACTACACTTAAGATGCTAGCTGAGTTTATATGATAATGGAAGTAACTGCAACTTCCTTGTCCAAAATTTCAATATTTCCATATGAAAAAACAGATTAGCAGAGAAAGAAAGAGATGTGAAAAAGAAATTGAATACACTTTATAGTGATTTAGTCACATATCTAACTTAAATCCACTCTTGAGATCCTCCTCTCTTTCCAGTTTTTGACAATCATCAAAAGGTTTTCTTTGCAAGTGAGGAATATTTCAAGTTCAATCATATCTTTAGGGCTACAGAGCAAATACTTATTATCCAAACGCTTTATCTTTGCTCAAAGGATAAAGCTATACAAAGTCACCGTTCTTTTTCTGAAGCTCAGTGGCAAACCTTTAAACATTCAACCTTACGATATAATGCAAATTTCCCAATAAAATTAACGTAGTCGAGGGTTGTGAAAGATAGATATAGAAAGTTATAGATGGAGGGATAAATAAGACAAATGAGAGCCAAAGAAGTATTTGCGAGTAACTAAGTCCTAGTTTGGCATTTAGGAAATCTAAAAGCAATCCAAAGCCACCATCCTCTATATGGACATCTCCTTTTCATTTCCGTAAGGTTCCATCAATGCTTTCCTTATTTAAATAATAATTGTATTTGATTGAAAGATATCTTTATATTCCTTGCATTAGTGAGAAAATTCTAAAACTTTGTTTGGATTGGACATTTATGAATATTTTTTTTGTTACATATTTCACAACTTGTAAATTTAACCTTCAGCTTTGAATGGTCTTTTTATCCCCTATAGTTGGATCCTGTATCGTAATATTTATATTTAAAAAATTTATATTAGGTTATCTATAGTTTTAAAAGTGAAACAAATAATTCTATTTATCATAATGCCATCAGCTACATTGATGTAACACATAACACATGATACTACATATTAGATCAATGTGAAAGTGATGTATAAAAAGATAATTTCAATACCCTTTTTGTTTTTATCACATGAGATTTTTAAATTATTATTTTTTGATAAAATGATTAAAAATAAAAGGGATATTAAAATTATATTTTTATCCATACCTTTCATGTTAATCGAATATATGGTGTTACTTATTATATTTTTCGTCAATACAGCCAACGATATTATGATAAATAAGATTATTTATTTTATTTTTAAAATTATTATAAAATTTTTAAGTATAAAAATCATGATATTAATAGGGTCCAAATACAGAGAATAATAAATAATTAGCTCTCCTTCTCTCGATCTCTTCTCTCTCGATGTCTTCGTCGTTTAGCTACCTCTCTTCTTGCATCTTTCCTCACTTCCTTTGGCAATTCTTTACCGCCACCATTTCCGTAAGATCATCCTTTGGTCCATTGTTTTTCTTTTGATCAGTCTCCTCCCTATAATTCATCATATCGAACATAAATTTCACTCTTAATTCTCATCATACATATGTATTAATTATATCCTTATTATAACAACTATCCTGGATAATTTTTTTCTCTTATATTGTCGAATAATTTGTTTTAGGTTAGAGTAATGCAATTAGTCCGTGTGTCATTGAATAATTTGTACTGATTAATTATTTTTTCAAGTATCGCCACGTGTTTGCACCTCTGGACAAAGCATTTATATTTATAATATTGGTTGATGTTATTCTACCAAAATTTTATTTCTATTTCTATTTAATTTTATTTTGGAATATTTTAGTATGATATATAATATTTAAAGGATTTTTTTAATTAAACATATTATCCAACTAGTGATACACTCATCAAAGGCTCGATTTACAAAAAAGGAAAAAAATATGTACTTTTCCGAAAGCCTCCATTCCAGCATATGAAAGCCCTTCCAGAAGTGCCGTCGCCACTATGTTCCATTTGTCCCGCTTCCTCGATCTTCGCTGGTCCCAATAATGGCGAGTATTCTATGAAGTGCGACGGCTTTGGATTCCGGAATTCTTGACGTCAGAAGCCCTTGACCTCTCTCCCCAAAAGAACCACCGAATTCCTCCGGAGATGATTCCGAGGGCACTCGGCTTGAAGACGCCGATCCCTTTCCCCGCTATTTACGCGCGCACGTCTCTCCCCCTTCTTCGCCGACGAACAGCATCGTTACGGTTTTCTTCTTCTTCTTCTTGTTCGTCTTCTGCCCTCAATTATTGGAAGTCCTCCTTTTTTCCCCTTTTTTTTCTTTGTTTTCATGTTGTTGATCTTTGGTTTGACTGCTTTACTTTGTTCCTCCGCTTTTAAGCAGCAAACGATGATAAGATTTTGTTGGGAAGTTGCGTTTCGGCAAAGGCGGCCGATTCCTTCGAACCCGATCGAAGCGCTAAAGATGCATTCCGTCCTTCACAGGTTTTCCTTTTTGACATATTTGAATCTCCTCTAAATCTGTATAAAATTACTTGAAACGTTGATTGGTGGCATGCGCTAACTCTCTAGTGTAGTGCTATTCACTTTATTATTTATGAAGTTAGGCCATTGGTTTGGTCGAATTCTCTAATTGGACGGTATTGGTGCTTGGTTTCTTTCAGGAGGTTCGGCAGGATGAAATCAGCATCTTGAAGATTCTAAAGGGAGCGAACTCCATTATCCCTCACGTAGTGCTTGCGAGTACAGTGTTGGCGCTTGTATATCCACCGTCTTTCACATGGTTTACAACCAGGTCATGCATAATATTCCTTTGTGTTCAATGCACATTCCTGATATGGTACCACTTCCTCTGATTCGAAATTGACAATTTGCTTCATCCACCGGGTGAAGTAATTGAGTAATTGAATACTTGGTTTAGTTGTTCATCATATCGGCCTTGCTTTGATCATAGTTTTTCCAGAGATGGATTGCATGAATAGGCATGGATATATCACGATGTTTTAGCATGTGAAATCCTCACCTAGAGGCTTCTTATCCACTTTAAAGCAGGTTTCTAAGCTGTACGTTAATCATTTGTTATCATGAGCTATTTTACCTAGTGAATTTTCTCTAAGAAATCTAAATAAATGATGCTTTGTCCATGAAATTAATATTTATTAATCTCATGGCTTAAGTAGTGTTCGGCTGATGGATTTATGACATGGACAAATGGATAAAAATTACAGCTGAGGAAAATTCATGGAGAAGCAGATAACATCCTCTCAATTTTGGGATTGTGATTGAGATTATTGTTGGGCATTTGTACATAGTCGTTAGGATCAATATATCTAATTCTCTCTTTAGCGTATTGAACCTTTTGTACCTATCGACTTGATTTATGAAGGAAAGAGAAGCTTCAGGTTAGTAACCTATTGTCATTTTTTAACTCCCATCAATTATCTTATAAGTTTGGGAATGACAAATATTACTAATTCTGGTACTTATACCTGGTTATCTTTTTGAAACACATTAATCTTATTATGCTCATATTCTTTTGTTAATCATGAAGGTACTATGCACCAGCACTTGGGTTCTTAATGTTTGCCGTTGGTGTAAATTCAAGTCTCAATGATTTTGTAGAAGCATTCAAGAAACCTGATGCAATTGCTGCTGGATATGTTGGGCAGTTCATTATCAAGCCTCTGCTTGGATACTTATTTGGCAGCATTTCAGTTTCTCTCTTCAAACTCCCTAATTCTTTAGGTGACACAAATAACTCAAATTTCTATTCATGGATTTTGAAGAGCAAAACTTATTGATTCAGTTTATTCTTGACCTAGGTGCTGGGATCATGTTAGTATCATGTGTTAGTGGAGCACAACTTTCAAATTATGCAACCTTTTTGACAGATCCACCAATGGCCCCATTAAGCATTGTCATGACATCATTATCAACTGCCACAGCAGTTTTTGTTACACCAACCTTATCTTTATTGCTCATTGGCCAGAAGTTGCCTGTGGATGTGAAAGGAATGATGTCAAGTATCGTGCAGATTGTAGTTGCACCAATTGCTGCAGGTCTTTTTCTAAACAGGTACCACGCTTAGCTTTCAATTTCTTTTTAGTTTAAAGCTTCTTTTCACATTTGGGATGATTCAATCATTAGTAGTATAGTGTATCATGCATAATTGTTGCACAAGTCTGAATGGAAGTGACATTATATATCACCAACTGCAACGTATGACATCATGTGCATATGTATTACAAGCTGTTTTGTGACTAGAAATGAGTGAATAATGAATTAAAACATGTTTTGTATATGTATTACAAGCTGTTTATAAAGAAAACATATCTAGAAGATTCGTAAACAGATATATATTAAATTAAAAATTCAATATTATACCTTAAGTTATGGCTACCACGATTATAAAAATGACTTGAATTTATGGGGGATGGTTTGAGGTCCTCGATATGATCCTATTTCAGATCAATATTGAAATCATAAATGCCCCATGCATAAGACTGCTCTCATGATATCTGATACTGACAAATAATGTATCATTGATGGAACAACATTGTAGCAATCATGACCTTGTCGTCATTAATAATATGAGTGGTAAGAGGCACCTGAGTCCAAAATGGTTGTGGCAAGTATGACTTGACATGTAGTGTAGTAGAGCTATGAGTGTCATCTAGTACAAGAGGCCATATGGTACATCCAATTCCGAGAAAAATGATTCACTACCATCATGAAACTGTTGGCCACAAGATGCATGGTGTTAGGAAGGTTGTGAACACGATGAGCTTCTCCTGGACTGAAGATCATACAAAATGTTTTACCTCCATATAGTTATCAACTGTCTTTTCTTTGCCCTTATTGTTGTGATCATAAACAAAATTGTGTGGATCTATGTGCATCATCATCTTCATCCTAGGTGGCATGACTGTGCTCCACCCATCTGTGTTTGCATAGCAGGAACATGAGCTTCTGAGTACTGGCCACTATCATCACTGGACACTATTGTCCATGTCACTATCATCTCCGTGGATCTCACAATATGAAGTACAAGCATCTCTTCTCCCAATTTGTACTCGTTGTTCATTGATTACATCCAGAGAGTCAACTGCATTGAGCAACCTTTTCCCTTGCTATTGTGGCCGGATGACTTACTCTGATATAGCATGCCACGGGCCATAGAACAATGATTATTTGTAGCTTGGTTGCTTGACCACCTCTTGACACCAGGCCTTGCCCTTCTTCTGTCCCAGTAGTCTCCTCCTGTAAACCTTGTTATTCCTCCTTGAGTGCCTCAAAAATGATATATGATGAACGTGGATCCCTTGCCTCATCCAAAATAGATCATCCAGTTTCTTCACTGTGCATACCCAATCAATCAGGTCTGAGTGATCATTATAAAAGTCTTGTTTAAATGGATCTATCTTGAGTTCCTCTCTCCTTGCTTAACTCATGGTAGTGTAGTAGTTATAACTTATAATGAATATAGATAGGTTTCTCCAAGCCTACATAAAAAAGTTGAGTATGAGGTGTTGTATGTAAAGGCTAATGTTGGCCAATTACGTTTGTAGGGTTCGAGTCACGGAAACAGCCTCTTTAAATATTTAAAGGTAATGTTGCGTACGTTGACCCTCCCCAAACCCCACATTGGTGGGAGTCTTGTGCACTGGGTACACCCTTTAGTGACCCTCCGAATTGTAAGTACAACTCAACTATACAAAATAATGGTGTTCTTGCTGAACATACCAAAAGCCTCTCAAAAAAGTCATCCTAAATTAACATATATCAACAATTAATAATCAATTAAACATGACTTAGTTCCATCACCACAAGTTTAATAAGCAAGTTATTGTACTTCATAGATGAAATCAGCTACATAGTTCTCATCTAGTTCCAGTCTTATAAGGAAGTTGCAGAGAAATTGCAACAGTTCATCATCATCATCATCGGTAAGGTTGTACTGATATTTGTATGCAGAATTAAGATAATAACCTACCTGATGAACATAACATACTTAAAATTTTGTATATTTTAAGTTTCTAATTAACTTTATAAAACACAATCTGAATATTCTTATCTATCTTGTGAATATTTTGGGACATCTGATTCTCTCATCTCCAATCAATGATATGGAGATTGGCTCTAACTGTTTCTTTTTATCCTTGCTTGTGGATTATTTCATCATATTAGTCTAGTTACAACAACTGTGAATAATCCATGCTTTTATGTAACTAATTGTTTGGATTTACACCTTAAGCATTGGTCTGGTGGTGATGTACCAATCTCATTTACCAAAATCTGAGGGTTCGAAACCTCATCCGATATATTTTTTAAAGTGTCAACTAGCTTAGTTGGCAAAGACTTTGACAGCTTATTGTAAGGTTTTGTGCTTGAATTCTGCCTTCTCCACTTACCCTTTGTAAATAAAAGGAAATGTTTCAACTTTAAGATTTTTTATGATTTGTTGACTACTTCCATAACAAATTTCAATATTCAATATCTTTGTTCCTATACTTCTGATTTACCCCTTCTTCATATGTCAACTTTTTGTTCTCCATGCACTAACCTTACTTCGTGAATTTTGAAGGTTTCTCCCAAGGATCTGTGCTGCAATTCAGCCTTTTCTGCCCCCATTATCAGTGTTTGTGACAGCTCTCTGTGTCGGTTCTCCTTTGGCAATAAATATGAAGGCAATCATTTCCCCTTTTGGAGTCGCGATAGTGCTTCTTTTGTTTGCATTCCACGCTTCGGCATTTATATCTGGTTATGGGTTTGCTGGTATCTTATTCCGTAGATCAACAGATGTCAAAGCACTACAAAGAACCATATCTTTCGAGACAGGTTGCCACATCTGTACACATTATTTTTAGCTTTTGCAAAATTAAATTTAGATGTCTAACAGTTTTGCTTATTTCAGGGATGCAAAGCAGTCTTCTAGCCCTTACACTTGCAAATAAATTCTTCAAAGACCCTCTTGTTGGTGTGCCTCCAGCCATCTCGGTGAGTCGTTAGCAGTCGTGCCTTTGGTAACAATGTTTTATTCTACTTTTATTTCGATGTGAGGACAAGTGGAGAGCCAACATTTGCCTGTTATTGAGCTCTAAAAGAAGATGTAAAGCAATGGATGGGAAGGGGGAAAAATGAACGGACTGGTTTTCTAATTTCTCTGTTACTTCAAAATGTAGGTCGTCTTGATGTCTCTGATGGGTTTCGCTCTGGTGATGATATGGTCCAAGGGGAAGCAACAAGTGCAACCAGTTAAGATATAATGCAGAGTGGAACACAAAGAACATCGATGAATCTTGTGGACGATTTGACTGAGTATAAGCTGAAAATAAAGATTGTGCGTCTCCCTGCCTGGACATGAATGCGCTATGGAGAGGGATTGTTGGACCATTGTGAAGAGTAATCTTTGATTTGTTCGTTGTTCTAAACGCTTTACATGAAGTTGTGTCGTGGATCCATTTCTTATGAGCATTAGATCGATGCTATTTGGGAAATTTTACAAAGCATGTCAGAGATGGGCTGCTGCTGGCATAGCCATCGATCTCTCAGTGTAGAGCTGTGGATATATAAGATTAATGTTGGTGTTTCCCTGTAGTGCCTATTATGATATCTTCCGCTCCAATAGAAGTTTTCTTTTATTTTTGTTGATTCGCTTTCGATCCAGGTGAGTCGCCGATCGACTCCATGTTTCTCATTATCGTTTTAAAGAACTCTAGGGTTCCAGTTCGCTCCTCCTGATCTTTCATGGTTTTGTTCATCAATGATCTAAACACAATACATAGATATATCATAGTAGAGAATTCATTAATGCTTAATCATCATCTAATATATAAGTGTTTATTTGCTTGTGTGGACAAAAGTCTACAAAAGTCTAAGGAAAGTAGGTCGGAAAGTAGGTCATTCATTGTCTCCTGCTGCCCACATGGACATGCCCACATGGACAAAATGTCTAGGGATGATGAAATGATTATCAATTGTCCCCTCCAAAGCCAAATATAAAAGATAATCCTCAATGCTATACCAAGGTGCTCTCTTCCCCGAAAAAACAAATACTAATTAAAGATATCAATCATTAACTTGAGCATAAGAGGGATTAGATCAAGAAACTTCTTTCGACATTAGTCTTAGTGCAAGCAACACCTCGAGAGCTAGACGCTTTATCTCGGAGACACTTCTGACACTCCTATGCCTCTAGGTTTGGACCACGTCTGATTAACTCAGAAGGAGGGTCTGATATTTCAAGAATGTTCGCCCATTAATCCTACCAACAAATGCTCTAGCGATTAGGCCCTACTTCCGACTCATAACACTTTTACTCAAAGGGGGCAGTTGTTATCCTTCTCTCACGTAGATGCATCCACTTCAACGTAAATACCAACATGGTACTTGCGCCTGTTCGATGACCAAAGCCTTTCACCCCCAGGGACGACCTTGAGCCACTTGCTTCTCATACCAAGGTATTTCTAAATCTTACTCGATAAATACAGACGCTAACAAGCATGATGCAAGCTATTGTCCTGCTCCTACCTCAGTTAGGCTAATAAGCAATGCAACCATCTCAACGGCAATCAATATCTCAACAGCTACTAGCACTGGTGCCTGTCGGGATTCCCCCGCCCGATGCAGTGTTAGTATCTTAGGATCGCCCAAGGTAAGTGGAATTTGGCTAAGGAAGCACCCGACTCCCCAATCATGAAATTCAGTACACCGTCGCACCACTATTCTACCCTATTCGAATCTGAGACCTAGTCAGCAAACTCGATGGGTGACCCCTAAAGATCCAATTATGACAAATGGACCAATACTTAGAAAAGATGTGGTGAGATTTCTAGCAATCCTGAGATAAAAGGTCGGACAACCCCACCTCGGGTCAGTCCTCATTCACTCGGAACATCCAAGATGAGTCAATCTCAACTAACTTTTGTCTCCTATCACTGGAGGCCATTGATGACAGTACTGACTTGATAAAGCACATTGTCTCTTTCTATGTCCATATGTCACTATACAGCACCTTAGACGCCCTAATGTGTCACACCTTCCCGACAACGTTAAGAGGCTTGGCACGAGAATAGTACACTCACTTGAAGTCGCTCTCAGTCGGCTCTTTAGCTTAGCTTGCAAAGGAGTTCAAGCTCTACTTCCTTGGGAATGTGCACTCGAGGTTATCGGTGATAATGCTCCTCGAACTTAGGCAAGAGGAGGAAGAAACACTTTCTGACTTCGTCACTCGATTCATTAACGAGATCTAAGGCGTGCAGGAAGCCCATCTGTTACTTGTAATGTATGTCTTCATGATGGGGCTCAAGCTCTCTCGCTTTTTTTGGTCATTGGCGGAGACGCCATTGGCGGCGATGCCCAAGGTGCTCCAAAGGGCCAACTAATCCATTGCCATAAAAGAAATCAAGTAAGTGTGAGGAGATGCACAAAAGATTGAGGCAAAAGCGATTACCGTCGGTGCCAACTCCGAGGTCACCATGATGAAGAAGAAATAACCAACCCAAGCTACCTCACCCGATGTTCTAGTCGACTCCCTTGAACATGACTAGAACTGAAGTCTCTGTACAGATAAAGAAAAAGAGCTCTTGAAAGACTATCAATCGATAAAGACACTACTAGAGAGGAGGAACAAATCCAAGTATTGCTGCTTCTACCACAATTATAGCCATGACAAGGAGGACTATTGGGAACCTTCGCCCAAACTTCACGGTGTTGAATCTCGGATTTTGATGATGACGTCAATTGTCATTTGTTATCTAATCCATATGTTGAGATAAGTGTGCAGGATTAACTACGATGAAAGTAAGACATGCAGCAGGAGTTGCGCCGGAGTCGAGACTATGATCACGTTGGGAGTTCGAGAGCTCGACGGAAGTTCGGATGGTCGTCAGAGGTTCTGCGGGAACAAATCCGAGAAGTCCAGGAGCTTGCCAAAAGAAGCTCGTCGGAACTCGCCAAGTGGATCATCGCAAGTCCAGGAGTTTGCCGGAAGTCCGTCGAAGCATCGCTAGAGGTTCGTCGGATGTTCGCCGGAAGAAGCGATTGACGCACCGGAGCAAGTTGCAGTAAATATCTTAAGAAATTCGTAGTTAGCACGATGATTAAGTTAGACATGGGAGGTGATCCCATTAACTTAATCTTGGGGCAATTGGGCCTTTGAAAGACCCAAATTGGGCCGAATGGATCAGCCTATTCGGACCTAGATTACTTGGCCAAAGGTGGCATTGCTTGGGTCGGCGGTGGCAACGCCCAGGGCTCAGTCTCCGAGCTCTGGTTGGGCGGTGCAACCGCCCCAGTCAGGCGGTGGCACCGCTTGAGCTCGGTCTCCAAGCTCTGGCAGGAGGTGCAACCGCCCCTGACAAGCGGTGGCACCATCCAGAGCCTCAATCTCCGAGCTCTGCCAGGCGGTGCAACCGCCCCAGTCAGGCGGTGCAACCGCCAGACCCCGGAATTCCGGGAATTGACAGTTTTGAGCTCGGAATTCAAACTGGTTTGGGGCCTATAAATACTCCACTCTTTCAACAATGAAAGAGCAACCAAAAACCACCGAAATCCTGATCTTACTCTGTGATTTTTAGAGCTCAAAAGTGTTGTATGAGTTAAAAGTTCTTCTCCCTCTTTTCTTTCAAGTTCTGATCTTTCAAGAGAGGAGAGAAAATTCTGTAAGGGTTGTCTCCTAAGCCTGTCAAAAGGAGTGAAACTGTAAAAGGGTGGTTGGCCTTCACCTATTGAAGGAAGGCCTCTAGTGGACGTCGGTGACCTCGTTGGTGGAGGAAGCCAGAAGTGGATGTAGGTCAAGATTGACCGAACCACTCTAAAATCGCGGTGCTCTCTGGTTTGCATTTACTTTAAGCATATTATCTTTACTGCAAACCTCGTCAATAGCTTACTGCCTTCTGCGAATTTACGATCATGTTTCAAAGTTCAGTATTTTCCGAATTGGTGTTTAGACGTAAATCAATTTTATCGTACGAATATCATATTTCAATTTGCGCTTACATTCTGATTTCCATCATAACTGCAAACTGCCCTTATAGATTCGCTTTAACTGCATCTTACTTGATCACAAGTTAAAGTGATTTACGAATCGACTTTTTTACCGAAATCGCTCTTATCGTACCAACGCAGTTTTAATCGTCGAAAGTTTTCCGCTGCACTAATTCACCCCCCCCCCCCCCCCCCTCCCCCTCTTAGTGCTCTTGATCCTAACACACGGGTCGGTGGAGAGGCAAATCGACGTCATTATCGATGGACATGCATTGGGAGTTTGGGAAGCCTGACTCCCACCTCCGCTCAAGGTGTGGAGGTTGGGATGCCCGACCTCTACCTCCGCTAGAGATGAGAAGGTCAAGAAACTCGACCTCTGTCATCACGCGAAGCATGGAGGTCAAGACGCTTGACCCCTGCATTTGCCAAGACAAGGAGGTTGGGATGCCCGATCTCCACCTTTACCAAAGGCACGGATGTCGGGAAGCTTGACCTCCAATATCACCTGAGGCGTGGAGGTCGAGACGCCCGACCCCCGCCTTCACCATAGGTGCGGAGGTTGGGCAGCCAGACCTCCATCGTCACACAAGGCATGGAGGTCAAGATGCACGACCCTTGCCTCCGCCGGAGGTGTGGAGGTCGTGACGCCCGACCCCTGCCTTCACCCAAGGCATGAAGGTCAGGACGCTCGATCTCCATTGTCGCATGAGGCATTAATTAGGAAAACCTGACTCACGAGAGGAGATCTCGAATGCTCTCTTATCATATAAATTAAACGTCATACTTTAGGCCCCCCTAACAAGAGTCCTAAAGCATGTCTTGGGTGGGAGGGGAACAAATGATAAGGAATACATTAATGGCCAGTGCCACATGGAAGCTATTGTGGAACGAAAAAGATCCAAATCACCCCCGTTTGTCTACCCCCGTGGACAAAAGTCTAAGGCAGACCATTCGGGACTATCTCTCCCTTGCCACCCATATGAACAAAACATCAAGAGGGAGACATTGAAGCAGTTATATGTTGTCCCCTCCTATAAAAGGTAATCTCCAATGCTACGGCAAGGGACTCTCTTCCCGAAAAACACCATACTCATTAAAGACCTAAGTCATTAACTTGGGCAACAAAGAGATCGGGTCATAAAACTTCTCCCGATATCGGTCTTAGTGCAGGTGACACCTCGAGAGTCCGACGCTTCCATCTCGGAACCATCTCATAGCCACTTTGAAGTCACGTCAAAATCATCTCGGGGCTACTTTGAAGATTCTTCGAATAATCCTATACCTTCTAGTTTGGACCACATCAGATTGACTTATATAATTTTCCCTAACACATCCTAGTGCCATGTCACCATCACTGCAGTGCCCATTTAAACGTCGGATCAGTCCATACTTAGTAACCCAAATGGTTCCGATAGAGTCATCAAATGGTAGTGGCTACTTTGCGACAAATCACAAAGTCACATCATTTAGGTGTCAATCACAACTGTTACCAAAGCTCCAATATTCTACCTCCCAAGGATCCTGAACCTCTAAATTTTATTTTCTATATTATTTTTTCTTCAATTATTAATATAAATATCGAAAGAACTTTCATCGGACACTCCCCATGTAGTAGGATTCTACACCGAATTCAATCAGCTCTCGATAACAAAAGCTTTCGTCAAGCCCAAACAGGAACCAAATTGATTCATTTAAAGAGCAACAATCGCATTTCCACCGATTCAAGATCAGATAAATTTCTCACACCTTCGGGAATCAGATTCCAAAACTTTTCCCAGGGAAGCAACAAAACATTGATAACATGAGAAGTAAAGAACATAGAAAGAGCAAACGGTATCACCAACCCAACTACCAAAACAAGAGTTGGTCTTTCCTCTCTAGTAAAGCATGCTCTCAACCATGAAGCTGGTTCTTCAAAGGCTGTACATAACGGTACTTGCACGAGTTCTTCGATCACCTGATAGTGATGTATCGATTTGTGCCATGCTTAGCCCAGTGGTTCTTGAGATCCACTGCCATTGACAAATCATAGCCGTCAACTGCCAGGCATCTGAGCAACTTCCTAAAAGCACTGCCACTCATCTTCCGTCCTCCCATCCGAGCATGGCGCTTGTTGGGCATGACAGGAAGTGGGTACATGGACAGTGACGAAGTGCAGCAAGAAGACTGCCATCCAAAATCCCCCCACCTATAGCACTGCCGTAACTTCCCAGTGCAGGAGCACACTGGCGCTGGCACACTCAATTCATTAGCAGAGAACTCATCAAAGCACAGATTACAGTTTCTCCATGTATCTGTCATCGTAGGGACCTCATTCAAATCTTTTTTACCCCCGACGATCTCCTGACCCTTCAGCTTGCCATGTTTCTTTGCATGTGAGACCAGCTTGTTCGAATCATCACCATGACCCTCCTTGATTTTTCTCGGTGATTTTGATGACATCTTGTGTGGAGTGGCTTGGGTGCTGGTAGTGATCTTCTTAGCCTTCATTTCCTTTTCACTGTAATCAGGTACCATTGAGATTGGATATGCCTCAGTTATGTGCATCTGTCGTATGTGATCATATGGAGCATCTGCCAATTGGGGTGGTGATTCATGAACATCGAGATGTGCGTCTTGATGGCTGTGACTTGTCCATAGGGGAGGAGTGCACCAAGAACAACATCCCTGTTCATTATAACCATTATAGCTCTTCTCACGGGCATAGCGAAGGGCAGCAATTGCATTGTCACGCTCCATAATGGCATTGTCCCTCTTGGCAAATGCAGCATCACGTTCCTTCAGTGCCATATCAAGCTCAGCCAAAGCAGCTGTCTTTTCAGAGATGGCCAGCTCACGTTCTTGAATAGCACTATCCCGCTCAGCTATCAAGGCAATGATCTTCAAAGCAGGATGATCCTTCATTTGATTTTGAGGCATTATCTGCTACAGTATTTGGCAAATATAAGGACCACAACAGATCTATTTAGGGGAATCATTTAAACAATTGTCTCCACTGTCAAAGCTATTCCAGTTAAGAGAAAACAAAATAGATGCTTCTGGTCTAAGAGACAGCATCAGATGATTTAACATGGTGACTTCCAAGAACTTGTACTCCATGATATATATTATACCATAGAGATGACAAAAGAGGAACCTTTATTCAAAAGGATCATAAATCAAGTACAATCTTCACAAACAATTAAGACAAGATAACCACTTTCTGAGAAATTTGACATTCTGTAAAGGCACATACAGCTACAATTATTATCACATGAGTATGAAACTACCTTTGTGTAACTACTAATAGAACAGGTGACAGTGTATGTTGGTTAACAGCTATAAAATTATTCTCTAAAACCAAGAATATGAACATGTAGATGCTGAATCTGCTAAAATATATCTAAATAACAATAAAAAACACAGTACATTTTTGTAGTCCAGCCAGTCAAGAAACACAGGCCATAGCATCAAGGTATATTCAGGCATAGGTTTAAGGGATCAATGGTACTTTGTCAGAGACACAGATAATGACTCCACAAAAAATCAGGGTTTATAAAGCAGAAAATATGATTTAAATAGAAAACACAATAATGTTTGCTTAAGAGTAACCCTGTGAATGCAATTTCCTATCTTAATTGATGACGGTTGTATTTCTTTTTTTTTCAGCCTAATTAAGATCAAAATTTTATAGCCACTAACAGGTTCTAACCAGTGAGCAAGAAGATCTAAAAACATGATTTTTTTCTACAAGAATAATTCCCACAATCAGGATAATGGATTAAACATTTAAACGAAACAATAGACCATTGGATGGATCCCATGTCATCATCATTTATAAGCTTATCATGACATCAAGTCCAGTCTCCTCAAGATTTTCTGAGGTCATAGCAGTCAGAGGATAGTGAAAACCAGAAGAAACCCATATGAAGGTGTCATGGGCTAGTCTCACCAAGCACATTGTTAGCAACCACACAGGAAGGCTTCCAGTGTGATACGCAGGATAGACGAACTAACTCCCACAGATCTCAAGCTTAACCATTTCATTGGCCTTGGCCAACCATAAGCACATGCTGCATTCAGTGATTTCAATAGGCGCTCGGGCGCTCGCCTAGGCGCTCGGGCGAGGCGAGGCGAGGCCCGAGCGCCTCGCTTCATGTCCAGGCGCCTCACTTCAAAGAGGCGCCGCCTAGGCGCTCGCCCGAGCCAAGGCGTCGGGCGCTTCGGGCGAGCACCTGGGTTAAACCAGGCGACCGAACCAGATTTTTAGGTCTGGTTGGTCTCCGGTGCCTTTGTTGGTTCAATCGAACCAACTAAATCACCGATATCATGCTCTCTTTCGTGATTTACCCGACTTCCCCAACCCTAACACTCGCGATTTTACCGTCGAGATTTCTTCTCCGTTGTCGCTGCTCTCTGCTGCCGCTGCAACTGTCGCTGCTCACCGCTACTATCGCTATTCGCCGCTACCACAATCGACTACTCGCTGACTGCTCGCCGCTGCCACAATCGCTGCTCGTCGCTGTTGTCGTCGCTCGCCGCTGTTGTTGCTGCTGCCGCTCGCAGCTCCCGCTCCCACTCCCGCTGTCGCCGCCGCTTGCCGCTTCCGCTCCCGCTCCCGCTCCAGCTATGGTTGTCGCTTGCTACCGTTGCCTCAGCAGCCTCGGTCTTCTCACACTCTTCTCACTATACTGTCAACAGTATATTAACAGTATACTGCTAATTGTATACTAATAATAGTATTTTTATTTATTAGATTACTAATATATTATTTTTATTTTAATATTATTCATTTTTATTTATTTAATAGTATTTTTTATTTAAAAATAAAAAAATATACTATTATGATTTATTTATTTATTATGATTTTGTACCTACTTTTCTTAATTTAATAGCATATTTTTATTTAAATAATTATATTTATTAATTATATTATATATTTTTTATATTTTAGCGCCTCGCTTCGCTCGGGCGAGCGCCTAGCGCCTCAGGCGTTTTTGGACCTTAGCGCCAATTGGCGCCTAACGCTTTTGAAATCACTGGCTGCATTTCATGCCCATACAGTGATAGGGAACAAGCAAAGACGCATCATGTGGACAAGCATGGCGTCATGCGCATAGGCCATCCGCAAACAAGCTTGAGGCATGGTGAACTGCCTCATAATGACATTAGGCTGCCACATGTTCAGCATGTAGTATCATCCACAGCACAGCCACTAATCATAATATTGGTGGGTTAAGGTGCACTACATTCTAAAGGGCTCTAAAATGAATCAAAATAGTCATTAATCAGACCATGAAAGACTAAATTTGCATCTAGAATGGGATAACGGGATAACATCAATAAAGGACATTGTAATATTCAGAGTCAGAGGATAAAAGGAAACGTAAAACAAGGTGATTGTTCTACTTAAAGAGCACAAATAACATTATGTTAAATGAACGCCCAAGTGGGTCTATGACTAGAAGAAAATAGACAAAACATTAGGACAGTACTGGACAATCAGATGCTGAGACATATAAGAAGATAACAAAGTCGGTATAAGTCGATGTGCATATGTTTATCATTGGTCAACAGTAAACGTAGAAAATCAAGGGAGGTTTTCATCAAGAATAATAAGATTTTAGAGACAGATTATGTAATGCAATTATCAACAACCAGCTGCAGATAACACTATGGCCGGCTCCCAGTAACCTCCGGCTACTGATCACATTCATGCATGTCATTGCCAGGAAACCACAAAGTAGATCTTGATAACAAAACCAATTATTATTTGCTAATTTAAACTTCTTACCTTATTGTGAATTGACCTGAACTGAGCTGGTTTGTGCCTCTTATGTTGCCTATGTCCACCATCAACCATATTCAGATCTAGTTTCAAGATAGAAGTAAAGATGCAGGCACCTGATTAATAATTTAGAAAAATATTATTTAAAGGTAAAAAAGTTGAGTCCAACCTCAGTGCTCATTGCCTATCATGACACTAAAAGAGTAGGAAAAAAGGCTTTACAAAATCAGAAGCAGGATAATATGACGGAAAATATACGTTAACAAAGCAGGAATATGAAGAAAAATAAACATTACAAGGAACAGTCATCTTTAAATAAGCCCGGTTGGGAGAGCAAGAGCAACTGGTTGAGACAGCGAGAGCAAGAGAGAGAAAGAGATATTAAAATATCACAAAGAAAAAAGATCAGACAAAGCCAAAAACCCTAGTCTGCATGCCAGTTCAACCTTGGATTGGTAGAATGAGATTAAGAACCATGCAATGCAATACTCGCTATATATTGCATCAGGTAGGAGCTTAGTCTATTTATTTCTTCACAAACAAAATTAGTAGAACTACTGCAACACTCTAGATTCAGAAATGTCAAGAAACTAAATTGAAGAGACTCAACAATAGCACACAAACCTTATATCAAGGAGGGAACAAGCAAATATGGATTAAGAGTTGGTCCATGTTGCCTTTCTAGAGATTGCAGAAGACCTAAGAAAAAGAACCATCTTAACCTCTAGTTAACTAAACCTGAAGAATTAGACTTGCTAAAACGCCAATATTCACTTCAGGTACACCAATGATTCTGTTGGCCCATAACTTCTGTAGCTCTAAATAAGAAAAATATTAAAAATTGACTACAAAACTGATATTGGGAAGTTGTAATATGTCAAAGATTGTATATAAGCACTCATGAAAGTACTGTGCATTTCTAGAATAACACACAAGGAAGAATCAAACTACTACCCTTTCTTAGACTAAAAAAGTTTCTTACTTTCCTGCTCAAGAAAAAAAACTTTTTTTCAACCAGTGTCATGGTTGTTTACAAAAGTAAAGAAGCAAAATATAAACAAGAGTATGGAAAAAATATAGTTCATAGTTTCATCATTTAGGAAACCAGTATTTGATATGTTAAATTTGTGTCTACTTAGGTCGCCTGGATCTGTCATGGTGGCAAAGCTGAAGGCAGCTTACATTTTAGAACAATTAACTTGGGCCTCAATTCAAGGGTCAAAGCAAAACATAATTGCAGCAAAGATTAAAAAGCATATTAAGCAAGACTTGTGAGCAACAAAGCATCAAAGCAAGCAAACTCAAATGGATATGAAGCAAATAATAATGACATGCTTAAGGAAATACACAGAATAAAATAGAAGACATTCTTCAATTACCATGCCATAATGAAGAAATGGGACTTCTTACCTAAAGCACAGCCAGGTTTGTCTTAGCAGCAAGGTTGAGTCATTTCATCCGAGACAGACCAACTGAAAATAACACCTCTCCATGATAAAGACTTTAGAAAATACTAGCATAATAAAATATCAAATAACCACAGAGTCTCTAAGATTGACAATGATTGCTTCTTAAATAACTCAAAAGTTAATAACTGATCAGCAACCACAACATTTTTAAGCTTCAAACAGCTTCTGATTTGCAGTCTTAAGTTTAAGAAGTGAGTTAGGTTTATGTTGTCATTACCCACTAGCAATCAGGAATATGTACTCTGTAACTAGAGCAATTATAAATAAATATATATGCCTTATCCAAGAGACTGCCCTTTCTCAAACAAGATATAGAGCCACAACCAGAACTTTAACATCTAAATGTCTCATAGCTCCAAGAAGCTTAAAGCTTCCTACCATACAATTTGTAAAAATTAAGATTAGTTCAAGCCACAAGGAATAAATACCATTAAAGTATCCATGTCATGGAATTAGCAAATGATGGGTGTGTAAACAGAGAAAGAAGCAAACACTACCATGTTAAAATACAAAAGAAAGAATCAAATAGTACCATGTTAATAAACAAATTGGCATCTGACAGCAGTATGGGGCATTTAAGATAATCAAACGGCCGATTGTATAGTTAAGTCAATCTCAATACTTCTTTCAGTGTTTTCATTGCAAGACTTAAAGAAAAGCTCATGGTCCTTTTAATAACCGTTAAGTCCCTCGTATTTATTCCAACCATCGAGGGTCACATCATAGTTGTTCCCACCATTTCTATACAAGTCCAATTCAGTCTTCTCCCCTTGTAACATCTTCTGAACATAAAGATCATGTCAGCTTTTTATCATATTAATTATTACCAAAATTATAGGCCACATAAAAAGAATCGAGAGATGAATGTTGCATTCATGGAGACAAAAATCTGATACATGTGCATATATTTCAGGAAAACAAAAGCATGCTTATCACTATCTGACGTAGTAACAAATTATTACCAAATGCAATCCAATAACTGACGTAGTAACAAAAACAAAATTGTAAAATCCGATGACAGCTGATCTTTAATAACTCAATAACTGACACAGTAACAAAAACCAAACTGTAAAACCCATGACAGCTGATCCTTAATCAAGTGACTCCCACAAACAAAAAACACTGGCATCTAATACCAAAGTCATCACTTTTATATCGTTTTTTAACTGAATAGTGTTCAGGATACCAAATGTATATTACCTAAAGTACACACTCTGAAGGAGAGAAATATCGATATTGTCCTATAAATATCAAGCCAATGACAAATTGTATTATAATCCACACAGATTGATATTATCCTATACATATCAAGCCAACGACACATTGTATCGGGATCCATTAATTGGAACTTCCCCTGTATATTAAACAATGCATAATCAACTAGGCACATTCAAGAACCATCGGAACGAAGCAAGCCTCACGAATACAACCTCATCAGCTGTTAGAGAATCAGGGCAGTTGTTTGGAGTCAATGAGAGCAATCAGGTAAGAGTATAGAAGCAATCCACAAGACTTACGACACTCTCGCATCTAAAATTCATAGCACGAAATAGACAAAAAAGAGCAAATATGAAGGGAACCTATTGAACAATAATTCCAGAGGAACGCACTGTGGTTTTCTGTCTGGCGGGGCGAGGTGGTCTCCGTCGTGGTCGACACGACGAGCATGCCGCGGCCACCACGGACGCGGTGGAGACTCTGTAAGCGATTGTGGCGGTGGGAGAAATCAATCAGTGGAGGGAAAATAGAAAAACGAGGAGGTGAATATCGCGATGGAAGTAGAATCGAAGGGGATCTGGGATTCACGGGCTTGGCATGACATGATGAGAGGAGGAGGAGCTTTTAGGCTCCGACACGGGTGCTGAACGAGGGAGGCACAGTAGACGGAGCGACGAAGATGCGAGACGAGAGTCCGAAGGAGCGACTGAAAGAGGGTAAGAAACGGGGACGAGGGATTTGGCGAACAGACGAAACCAAATGGGTTGGGTTTAAGCGCAAGCAGGAAGTGTTGTGGAGTATCCTCCGAAACCGTCCATCTTGCTCAGCTTTTCATCTCAACCGTTGGTTTTGATATTTAAAGTATCCCAACAAGTGGATCTATCTGACCGGATTAGTACCGATTAAATCGATCAAACATATTCGAATTAAAAACAATCATTTATCGATGTTGGCAGATTTTGAGTTAGGAACTGATTGATTGATACAGACTGAAGAATTGGAGCACAGCAATAGTAGGATAGATGAAAAGATCCGAAGCACACACAGTATGCATAATTTGATGAAAACAGTATCTGTAGATTAAGCAGCGTTTGCAAGCTTAGCTCGAGATTGTTGGTGCTCGTAATGTAAATAAACTCAACCATATCTATCGATTAAGCAAAGCTTTTGCAAGCTTAGACTTCGACATAGTCAAATCAGAAACCCCTGAGAATTACTAAAGAAAACCTTCAAGTAGAAGTTGGTACTCGTAATTTAAATAAACTCACTTGCAATCCAGAGTACATGTTTAAAAAGCTGGTAATTGAATTGAGGCCATCTAAGCCATTAATTTAAGGTCAGTTAAATATCAGGCGATTGAGAATGACCATGTGAAGTTAAAGCTTATGACTCATTTGTTTTTGTCCGCGGCAATTGGAGAGGAAAAACCAGAAGGTAATATCATTGCAAAGTGGCACCTCAAATGATCACTGACAAGGAGAAAAGAAAAGGGTAAGTGGAAAAAACTTAAGAGAACGAGTAGGGATTGGATTACCAACTCCTGTGGGCCTTGAGCTCAGATTTGTCCTTTTTTTGAATTCCTTAATGCTCATAGTAGAATAGTGGATTGTGTAAAGCAGTGCAGAAACTTTTTCCTTTTGGTTAGATACGAGGAGGATAAAGATCCCATAATGCAACAGTCGAGTCCTGAGAGCAAGATGCCATCAGCTTGCAGTCGGTTGAAAACGTCACCGCATTGCACTACAACAGGTAAGACGACAACAGATAGATCAGAATCAATTTGGATGAAATTGCAAACAAGTAAAAGTATGTCCAATCAAAGCCTCTCAAAGTTTGAACTTTCATGGAAGTGACTCGAGAAAAGGCAAAACAATTAAGAGTTAAGTGAATCTAAATATATCACATGCTACAATTTCTAAATAAAAGAACTGCGAAAGCAAATCAAATTTTGAAAGAAATTTGAAATCTCAGACTAAATGCACAAGTCAAAGTCAAACTCATATGATGGCTATGAACACAAAAGTAAAAAGGGGAAATAAAGGCAACTGCCATTGCAAAACCCATTCTTCAGAATCATCAAATTTTTTGTTCCAATAAGATTGATGAATTTACATTAATTAGTTGTTGACAGGACAGAATCAACTTGTTAGATGCCAAAACTTTCAGACAGCCAACTTTTTTTGATAGATTCACTAACTATAAGGTAATCAACAAAATCCATACAGATGACAGACATACAGGTTTGTCTCTTTAACATGATTTATGCAACAAGTTTAGCAAAAAAGAAATAAAATAAATTCTACATAAGTAGTTATGTGTGATTTTCATCTAGTTATACGTTTTATAAACAACCAAAGAGCACTTTTAAGTTCCTTCACTTAGATCTTGTTATCAGTCCTTGGTATAGATCTACACATGAAAAGGCATGGAGTCCATCAATGCCTTTACTAGCAAATAATTTTTTATTTCATGTAAGAGAACTTTTGGAGATTGTCTATATAGTAGTATTTGCCATTATTGCCTTAAAAAAATGTTGTCAAGATGATTATTTTCCATGGCTATTCTTCACTTAGCAATCAAAAGGGCATAGCATTTAAAGAAACAAGGTTAGTTCTTAGGTTAACTCAGCCACTCGTACCAGTAATCAGAAAATACAAAATTTATCAAGATAATAGTGGTTGAAATGTAATAAAAATGCACGTAATAAAACTATTGTTCAAAATTATGGAAATTAATATTTGTAACAAAAGTTTACAGTCAGCTAACATACCAAACCACTGTGATATTTTAGTATTGCTAGGGCATTTCCTTTCCGATAATTATACACTCGTACTCTGAAACAAAAAAAATTGAGTATATTGTAAGGCAACCATAAATTGCAAATGTACAGTAAATGGAGGAATCCGATCTTCCATATTCAAACAACCAAAAAGATTTAAAATAAAAAAATGCTATCATTAACTAGAACTTTTCAACATATTCTATAATCAAGTTTCAAAATTAATAGGCAAAAAAACTACAAAGTTATGGAGCACAACGTATATACTAGGTACATAAAACTTTAAAATAATCAACTCCATAGTCTGTACCTAAGTTTTATAAAGACAATCTAACATGACCACTTATGACCTTTAGCTAGTTCATCCACTTTCTAGTTAAACTCAAAAAGCTAATACACAATATTTTTTAGTATTAAATACCACTCGAGTTGTACTATATTACAGGAAATACATGCAACTTTAGAAGCGTATACTTCAATAAATGACAAAGATCATGTCCACTAGTTCTTTTCATGATAAACTAACCAATCAAAGAGTGTGCCTTCAACAACCAAGATTGTCGTTGTTGGTTAGCAATACTAGATTAATTTAAAACTACTTTTTAGAATCTCTATGCTGTCTACCACAGGTTGCAATATGGCCAAAATACAACAAGAGCATAAGACAATGAAATGGATGAAGGAAAATGGTATGATAAGAAAGATTACCAAAGTTGACAGGGCTTAAGAAAACCTTTAGAAAATAATTTAAAGCTACCTTAAGAATGATGAACCTACAACAATAAGGAGTATTGATGTCGCAATTGCTTGGATTTCTACCTAATCCAGCACCATACTTGTCCCTGTAATCAAGCTTTATCATCCTACAGGCTGGAAAAATTCCCATGTTATGTGTCAATAATTAGGCGTCCGGTCAAATAACAGAATATAAACACTGGGAGAGGATGGCAGAAAGAGAAAAAAAAGGGGGAGAGATCATGATATTAGTTTCAATATGTGGCGAAAGGGCTTTGATTCAAGCAGTGTTTGCTAATTACAGGTAGGTAGAATCTCCAAGGTGGCAGCTCGTGAATGGAGATAATTGAGAATTCCACTGATGAAACCAAAAGTGAGATAAAGAGAGCAAAAGGAGCAAAGGAAGTGAAAAACAAGGGAGACATAGCAACATGACTCCTAGAATCAGCAACCATAATTAAAGGTATGCAGGATAGAGTGCATAGAAAGAAGATATTGTGTGGTGTTGGTGTTCGATTTTGGTGGTGGTAATTGGCAATTGCAGGCAAGAGAGAAGGAAGAAGAAAGGAAGAGTAAAATTGCTAAGAAATACAGATTGAAGATGGAGTTGAAGAGAAGTAAAGAAGATGGCAAGGAATGCGGAGTAATAAGGAGAGAAAGACTAAAAACATCAACAATGTGATGGCATGTAGGTAGGAGAAATGGTGTAAATAATTTAGTTATAAAGGATTCATAAATAAAATGCTGAACTGACAAAACAAATTATTAGAACATTAAAACAAGTCTTTCAATTGTCAACTAGCAAGTCTTGTTCATCATCCATGATTGCAGACTAGTGGCACACAATTCACTCCAGTTTATAAAGAAAAAAGGGAAGAAAATCTGTCTCCTTGTTTTCTTTATCAGTCTTGACAGTCATTCTGTGAGTAACATGCATATTTACAGGTGATATGAATTATATTGACCAATCAACAAATACTGATTTTTTTTTCTAATGTTTGTCCACAGGACACTTAATTTATCGGGATGCCTTAATGTAAAAAAATGGTTATCTTCTAATTGGTTACTAAAGAACTTAGAAAAATGAAAAACAGGATTCTGAAGACAACCTGTGATCCCATCCTGCAGTTGCTGCAATTTTACTGTCTGCTCTTATTGATGTGCCAGCTGTGCCTGGATGATCGACACTTATTTCTTTCCTAATAGTACAAGTACCCTTGACAACAAAAGGAAGCAAAAGAACTGCTGTTAGTATGTGCAGTGTTAATAGCATGCATCATTGGTGACAATAGAAGGAATGTTCAGGTGAGAAGAAGTTTTTCGAATTCAAGTCTGTATGCAAGAGAGATTTCAAAATAAATGATTGAGAGCTCTTTGATTATAATTACTGAGTTGAAAAGGTAAAATTTTATGGTTTTGCTGATAATGTTTTCCAAAGGAACAAAAGATACGCTTTAGAACCAAATGGCAAGAATTGAGAAAATATTATTTATGCTGCATAGAAAATATGGGTGCCAAATTATAATGGCACTTTATTACAAGTCAATGTTCACAGATCGAAATAAGGTTCCCTACAAAAAAGGCAGGACTTAACTCCATCCTTTTTTTTTTTTGTTTGTGTCCTTCCAAACCAGTATGGTACTGGTATAGCAGGCAGTATATACCAACCTGCACTGCCTATTTCCATTGAATAGTATTGTATTTATATCAAGCTATATGTTTTGGAACCATACTTGGTCCACAGCAACAGTACACTCAAAATACAATATGATGACCAAAAAAAAAAAAACAGAAACAAGGGAACCAAGGAATAATCTTAATATAAAAGGCTAGTCGGCAGGTGACCATGAAGGCCAGTTACAAAATTGTCTGTGGCAACCCCAAAGACATCTTGATGCCATAGGTCCAAAAGCTATCAACGGGCACTATCCACCAATTAAAAGTATTTTCACAGAGTCAAGTTCAAAAGGAGGAGATAATTAACCTCACATATAGGGAAAATTTATCACCTAGAATGCAGGAAAAAATAAATAAATAACAAAAAGAACATGATCACAGAGTTATAGACCAAGCATACAACATACTAAAAAACAGTTACGATTGGAGAAGCTCGAACACATTTTGGATTATTTCACCTTTTTTTTGGCAAAGGATGATGAAGACATGATTCAATCCTAGAACCTTGCTATCAAAAGTCAAAACTTTTTCCAGGTAGGCAAGTTGGCATCTTCTTAAGGTTTGTAGGATGAAATTTGAAATCCTCAACAGT